TATAGCTTTACTTTTTAGGGTCTATATATAGTCGTTATCCGTTTGCTTTACCGGAATATACGGACTACGCTACCTTTGCACCCTATTTAAGGCGAGCTTTCTAAGCTCTTTCTTCTACTTAAACGCTAACCGACTTACTACCGCCTACCCTCTCCCCCTCCTTCTATCTAAACCCTTTAATTATTATTAATAAGCTACGAACGTTTTTGCAAACTCGTTACTAACTCCTTTCCGCTCCGGTCGGCTAAGATGTCTTCCGGCGCCCTAAATCCGCTAGGTACTAGTAGTAGCAGCAACCTACTAGCCCTAAACCTAGGCGTACTAGTCCCGATCGAAGCCCCCTCCGATAGCGCCTTAGCTGCTACAACTAGCCTTAAGCACTGCTTCTAGATCGTTACCGCCCTTAAAGACCCTTAAGAGAAGATCTAGAACGCTCGCACCCTACTACGTATTATTAATAGGAATATTAAGAAGGCTACTATCTTAGTTGCGTACGGTATAAACAACTTATGTTAGTCTATCGGTAAGCGTATCTTTAAGCGCGAGGTCCTTAACGATATAGATATCGAACAAGCCTTTCCTATCGTCTATAGCCTCGAGACAGCTAGCACCTAGATTCGCTTGCGCTTTAAGACCCTCGACTAGGCCTTCGAATATTAGGGAGGACTAAGTAGTCTTCCTAAGAGCCTTATTAACTTCGCCTACGGTAGATAAGAGCATACTAAGTAGGTCTCTTCGTTCGTTAATAAGTATAAGGTCCGTCGTTAAGGCGCCGAGTACCTCTCCCGCACTATAATCTATCGCGTTTCTACCGCTAGCAAGAAGGTAGGCAAGCAGTTACTTAACTTGTCCTTTACACTTAACGACTTTACGATAGCCTACTAGAAGAAGCACTACGATGCAATCGTCTAGGTAGATCTTAGTATATAGATAACTAAGGATCTACTAAAAGAGAAGGGCTATCGTATTAATAGTGTAGGCTTTATTGTTAAAGGTTAAGAGGCTCCTATCGTTAATGTCCTTAAACGTAAGGCTCTTCGCCTAGAAACCGAGGCCGATACGGCTGCTAGTCTTACGCTCGCTATAGAGATATAGGCTAAAGATCGTCGCTCGACCCGCAACTATAAGGTCCTTTAAGAAGTTTAAGACGAGCGCGCTAAGGCCGAAGCAGCGCGTAAGAAGGCATTATATACTCGCTAGGCCCTCCGTAAGGCTAGCAAGAAGTATAGCACTCCTTCTAGTACCGACTATAGTACTAACTATAGTACTAACTATAGTAATTCGGATATTAATATACTAGATATACTACTAGAAGATGTCTCCTCCGAAGGCTCCTTTAGCGAGCGTAGAGATAGAGGCCTCTCGCCGATCCTATTAACTAAGAACATCTATAGTTCTTATAAGGGCGACTCTATTACGTACCTTATTACTAATATCGATATAGTTCCTAAAGCCGATATAGGTAAAGCTCCTACTGCCCTATCTATCTATTAATAGCTCGACGACCTTAGTAAGCTAGGTAAAGAGCGGTTTACTATATATGCTAACTATATTAAGAAGGCTGCTAAGGTCTATAGTCTCTATACTAGTACTAAGACGAGTGTCCTTATTAGCCGCCTATTAAAGATTAGACGTAATATCGCTAATTAAGATGCCTTCGCTGCCTTTAAGGCTAATTAGGCCTATGCTAACTAGTTTCCTAGACGCCCTATTGCCGCCCCGATATCTCTAGGACTCTACGCGTTCAACCCTACTAGTACTATTACTCGCGCCCTTACGCCGACGGATCGCTAGAGTAAGTTCGTTACTAGTATCCTTAGCTAAAGTACTTCCTTCGACCGCTTTCGCTAGACTAGCAATACTATCTTCCCTTAAGTCTTTAGCTAGTTATAAGAGCCTCGTAGAGTATATCTTCCTTTCCTTATCGACCTAATATAGGAGGAGTTTGAAATGTACCTTTAGTATATACGTACGATGCCTAAGTCTAAGTAGGAAGGCCGTAATACCCTTTAAACTTATAGTATAAGCAACTAAATCGTCCGCTAGTACCCTGCCCTACAGCTCTTAGCTGTCGCCCTTCGACCTAATTACGTATACGAGCTTATCTCTGTTCCTAAGCCTACTAAGTTCTTTAAGGTTAGCGGTACTTATAAAAACTGTCTATCTAAGGAGTCTGCTCGTCTCGGATAAGATATAGTTAAGCTCGTAGCAGGCGAGGGTGCTAGTTACCTACGTATTAAGGTCTGCCTTATATCTAAGGATAAGACTAGCTGCTCTACTATTATCGAAGGCATGTATTAGCCCGAGGTCTTTGCGAACTAGGTTAAGAAGCTTAAGGCTCGTAGCCTAGTCCTACTAAGCAAGATCGGCAAGCTTACTAACAAGCACCTTACCGACGACGACCTCGACTATATATTCGATAGTTAGCCTAATAGTAAGGGGCGTAAGGCGGAGTAGATCCTTAACCCTCTAAAGGAGTGCGAGGTCTCTATCTAGATGCTATACCTGCTATATAGTAATCTAAAGACTAAGAGTAACTGTATATTAATTAACCTAGGCTACTCTCGCGTTATTAATAGCACTAAGGTTAAGGGTTACGAGAACTTAATAGTCTCCTAGGTTGCTAAAGCGTACCGCAATCTAACCGCCCTCCCGGCCTCTAACTCCTTCGTACTATTTGCTTTCTCTACGGCGATCTTAGTCGAAGGCCTCGGCTGCATCTCCGACGCCCTAGTTAGTAGGATTCCTTAGTTAAGTTACGTTGTTTAGAACGAAGTTAAACAGATCCTCTAGCTTAATAACGAGGGACTTAAGGAATATCTATATAATTAGGAGAATGCTACGACGGAAAAGGCTGCTAACCTCCTCGTTAATTAAGCTTTCTACGAGGGATAGTACTTTAGTACTAACAGCTTTAACGTATACGGAGGAGATTTCGAGAGCCGACTAGCAGATAAGGTTATTGCTAGTAAGGATTACGGCGCGTTAAAGCAATAGTAGGTCTATATAGTATTGCTTAGGAAGTTGTTTTTGCATAATTATAGTATCTAGGATTAATGCTACCCTAGGGGTATTATTGCGAAGTTCTGAAAATAGCCTTAGCTAAGAACGCTAAAGATGCATACATGTTTGTTTTAAGCGCGTAATATAAAGCGTGTCTAGTCAGATACGAAGAAAGGGAGGGATATTAGCTAGTAACCGGCCCTATACCTATAGGCTAGTTTTAAGCCTATATAAGAGGCCTCCTTCTATAGAGTAGACAGATTACTAACCTCGTATAGTATATTGTTTATGTTACACTTCTATAATGCCTATATTGTAGGGCTTGCTAAACATAGCTGCCTATATTGCTATAGGTTATGTTACCCTCGGTAGCCTATACTATTGCTATAAGTAGTAGTAGTAGTGTTAGTTTCCGTCCTTTAATAGCTAACCTCCGCCGCTTCTTTATAGCTAACCTCCGCCGCCTTCTTTATAGCTAACTACTGCTACCTCCGATAGCTAACTACCGCCGCCTTCTTTATAGCTAACTACCGCTGCCTCCGATAGCTAACTACTACTACTTCTTTATAGCTAACTACCGCTGCCTCCGATAGCTAACTACTGCCGCTTTATAGCTAACTACCGCCGCTTCTTTATAGCTAACTACCGCTACCGACTAGATAAAATAGAAAGAATAGTAGAAGAGTAGGATACTAAGCAATAGAATAGAATAACTAAGCAAAAAAAAAAGGCAAGGCTAGAGCAAAACACTAACCTTCTAACACCTAGAAACTAAGATTATAGAAGGCTATAGAAACTCGATTATAGTTAGAGGCTAGGCATATACTAATCTCTAGTTTCTAGTAAGGGGTAAGTTGCAACAATATAGTACTTTAGCCGAAGTAGGGTTACCTAGGTCCGACAATATTAGACCTCCTAATTCGATATAAGTATCTCGAAATGGAGCTCTTACGACGCTATATTATAAGGACTTTTAGACTAATAAATCAGTTCAAGGAAGCGCGACACTACCTTAGGTTAATCGGGATAGGGAGTAGGCCGTTAGTTATATAGTGTTTAAATGCGCTAGGCGAAGTATATTTACCTTTATAGCGAAGCTAAAGAAGAGACTATACTCTCTTCTTTACCTATTAGTATAGTAATAGGCTCGCTTCGCTATTAGATATTAGCTATTAATTCTTATATATATATATGCCTCCTATAGTATAACGTTAGCGTAGTAGTTAATAATAGCAGCGATGTAAGGTTTGTACTATATATTAATTGTAGGTTTAATCTATAAATAATATCGTTGCGAGAAGAAGTTATTTTTTCGTAGTTAATATAATCCGCTATATTAGCGATATTAGGCATTATACTTTTAATGCCGATACGAATATAGCTGCCGCAATCCGCTAGGATAGCAATCCGCTAGGATAGCAATCTGCTAGGATAGCAATCCGCTAGGATAGCAATCCGCTAGGATAGTAAACTCGTAATGCTAGCCTAGGAGGTACGGCAGAAGCCTCTAAGAAGAAGTCTAAAGGTTTATTTCTGCATTTCTGTATTCTATACAATATATATAGAATATAGAAATATAGAAACAAGCTAGGAGTTTTTAAAAGGTTAAGAGTAAAGGTCTAGGAGGGACTCTAATTGTAGCCGTATTTCTGTATTCTATATAATATATATATAATACAGAAATGCAGAAACAAGCTAGGAGTTTATAAAAGGTTAAGAGTAAAGGTAAAGGAGGTTTAGGACTCTAACTATAGTAGATTACTGCCGCATTTCTATATTCTATACAACTGTTTACAACATATATATAATACAGAAATAGGGAAATAGTGTTTAACTATAGTTATCCCGGACTTATAAGAAAACTATAACTCTATAACTAAGTAGTAGTAATAGGGGATTTTCTATATTTGCTAGTATATACTGCGGATACAGAAATCCGATCCGAGTAATTAGTATGCTAATGCTTACTATCCGAGTAATTACTATGCCAATGTGTCCTATCCCAGTAAGAGGTTTACCATTCGAGTAATTACTATGCCAATGTGTCCCATTTGAGTATTTACCCGTATTTGGAAGTTTATCGACTTCCCGAAAGATGAAGCATGGCGAGGATTGCGAGGATAACTCAAAACTGCTAGGCCTTGAGTCCTGAGCATCTTCATGTTTTCTCCGTGCTATACGGGCAACATTAGCACCGGCTGCAGCGAATACTTACAAGCGCGGCTGATTTTCGGATTCCAGCACTCGCACCTGTAATGACCGCTGTCTTGTTCTTGATTTTGCCCACAAATCGATCTGTGGCGATGGATGGGTATATGTTGTATTCCTTGAGAAGCTCGGTCTTGCAGAGATATGCCATGCTGGAGTTCGCGAAATATCAGCGATTCCAAGAGAGGAGCTCGGACCTGAAATTTTGACAAGAGGCAGATGCTTCACCGCAGGCACGAGACTTGCACTCGGAATAGTACGATCCTTCGATCTACCACCACTCAAGGCTACTCGATCGGAGAGACTGATATGGACGGACAGCCGCTCCGGATGTACCCTTGTGTAGCCATCACATGCCCGGCTATTGTCCCTACTTTTTCACCCCATCTCCGGCCTGCCCTGCTTCTCAAGCCACGACTTGAATTCGAACAACGATGACCATTTCCTGCCTGCCCTCGCAGAATGGTGGATCCTGCTCCTGTGAAAACTCTACTCTACCTTAGCTCGCGCGCTGGTATTCTACATGTCCTGCTCTTGCTAGAATTCTTGGCCAGGGGTACGGTAAGTACGGGACGTCGCGATCCAGCAGTCGGGGCATCGTAGGCAGACGCCGCTTGCGTACAGCATGCCCGGATCAATCGTCCATCTGCTGGAATCATCAATGTAGGCCGGCCTAAGTGGCTGGTAGCTGAGTGATCACACCTACGTAGGTACTGCATAGTCGGTGTGTCCTAACTCCGTGGATCCCGTAACCTCAGGCATCATCTTTCAGAGCCATATATCAAGACGACATCCTGGGCCGTTTCTCTTCGTCCAACATCAACCTACAAGCAAACGACCACAATGGCAGTCAAAGCAATCGTATTTGGACCTACTGGCAACATCGCCTCAGTCGCAGCCCGCACAGCAAAGGAGAATGGAGCTGAAGTCGCTCTTGCCATGCGAGATCCTTCCAAAACCATCCCAGGTCTCAGCTCTGAGGACGAGAAAGCTGGCGGCTATACCAGAGTGCAAGCCGATCTGACAAAGCCAGAAACCGTGAAAGCCGCAATCGAGAAGACTGGAGCAAAACATGCATTCATCTACGCAGCACATGGCTCCAAAGACGCCATGAAATCGACCTTGGAAGCAATGAAGAGTGGCGGAGTCGAGTTCGTGGTCTTCCTCAGCAGCTTTACAATCAGCGAGCCAAAAGAAGAAATTCCACCAGAAGAGGTCATACCGTATATTCACGCCACAGTCGAGGTCTCTCTCGATCAAGTCTTTGGGGAAGCGAACTACGTAGCCATTCGACCCGGTGGCTTCGCGACCAACGTTCTACGATGGTCACCCCAAGTAAAGACCGGCGAGGTCAAGCTATATGGTCCCAACTTCGCGATGGATTGCATTACACCAGGAGATATGGGTCGAGTCAGTGGGATTATTCTTGCAAAGGGCGTACAGTATGACCAGCGCAAGGTCTACTTATACGGACCGAAACCACTTTCTCAGAAAGAGATGGCAGAGGTAATTGCCAAAGTCATTGGTAAAAATGTCAAAGTCTCGGGATCCACACCTGAGGAAGCTACCGAGCAATTCAAAGCCGCTGGAGTGCCTATGCCCGTCATCAATTACATGATCAAACGGTTGGGCGACAACAAAGCCGAACAAGCCCCTCGTACACGCTACGAAGAAGGCTTGGGAAATGTGAGGAAGTATACTGGGCAGGAAGCAGAAACATTCGAGCACTGGGTCTCGGAGAACAAGGAGCTATTCGTTTAGCTCGACCGCACGTGCATTCACGATAGAACCAGCTCACCAAAAAATCTCTCTCATGACAAACCCACTGATCGAACGCTACAACTTCGCCCCACTCCCATTCCGCCCAAACGTCTCATTAACCGCCTTCTCAAACTCAACATACATGCCAAAAGCCTGTGGATCCCCAGGCGGAACCAACTGCGTAAAATAACACCCACAAATCCCTTCCGTTCGATTAATCCACCAAAACAAATTCGGATACCCACCCCACTGCATCCCTCCCTCTTTCCTCCCACAATTCCCCATCCCCTCCAAATTCAAAATGCCCCCCAACCCGAAATCCACTTTCGTCTCGACCGGAATATTCCCCGCCAACCCAAACGCCTCAGGATTCGCATGCATTTTCTGCAAATGTGCGGGATTCTTGAGTTGCGGGGTGAACATGTGATCGACGGTTGAGGGACGGAGGAGGAGGGAATCGTTTCGGAGAAGGGAGACGAGGATTTTGATGTAATCGGATGGGGTAGAAGCCAAACCACCTCCACCAGCATGTCGAACTCCGCCGATGGGGGAAGTCGCAGATGTTTGGGTTTGTGGGACGAGGTTTCCCTCTTCGTCTCGGACGATCATACCCGCGATGCGAGAGGTCAGATGAGGATGATTCGCGGGCTCGAATGTCGTATCGTTCAGGTCGAGTGGGTAGAAAATCTTCTGCCTCATGAATTCCTCGAGCGGAGATTTCGTCGCGCGTTCGACCGCTACACCTGCCCAGTCGATTCCATACCCATACGTCCAACTCGTTTCCGGATCGAAAACTAAAGGGACGCGATAAGCGTGAGAGACTTCCGTGCGGTCTTCATGGCTCTTCTCAATCCCTCGTTTTTTCAAATCTTGATTATGCCATTGCCTCCAAGCGAAGAGTCTCGCATGCATAAACTCGTAGGAAATCCCACTGGAATGCGTCAAGAGGGAGCGTAGAGTGATTTTGCCTTTTGCTGGGCGGAGAATAGGTTTTGATTCGCCATTTGAGTCCTCTTCCATGCGTTCTAATACCTGGATGTCTTTGAATTCTGGAAGGTAGGTTTCGGAGACGTTGTCGTCGAGATTTAAGAGTTTATCTTCGACGCATTTAATTACGCAGATTGTTGTTAGGAGTTTTGTCATGGATGCGATCCAGCAGACTGTATCTGGACCGAAGGGCTTTGTGACTTGTGGTTCTTCGGATAGTGGCTTGGTTTGGACTGAGGTGCCTTCTGAGGGGAGTTGGGATTGCCATATTGAGCTGTTGATGTAGGTCCCTGAGGAGATTGAGTGAAGAATTTTGCCTGGAGATGAGTTAGTAGAGGTGTCTGAAGAGACAAGAGTGTTTGGCCTACCATTTTTGTCTGCTGCCAAGATGCACGTGCCTGGCAGTACGCCGTCCTTGGTTGCTTGATGTAATTTCCGATCGAAGTCGTCCATTTTCAATGGCACTTGGCTCACGTAGGCACGATCAGAGTCTATGTAATAGCCGCGAAGTCACAAAACGAATACTAAAAACCAACATTGTTAGCATGAAGAAGGTGCCGCTCTCTGAGTGCCGAGCTGAGTTGGAGCCGAGGCATTCAAGGTGGTTTGACTTGCGCGACTCGACTTCCTATCAAAAATTGATGGAATATTTAGTTAACGCTTTCAAGACGTATCGTCTCGTCCTGTGTTCCTGACGTCCACTTTGACATGTCCAATGCCAAGTGGTCTTTCCTGGCCAAAGGATGCACTTCCAGGCCGATTTCCTTAGACACGACCTAGGGCCAAGCCTTCGCTCTCTCAATCGCATACCTCTACACACCACAGCTCCCCATCGTCTCAGTGATCTCCTTCGAGTTGGTTCCAACACTGTCAAGATCCTTCGCCAGGACAATTCTGCCCTCTTCATCCTCCCTGCAATCACATCCGAACTCAGCACGAAAGTCAGGAAGAAGCTTTCCGTCCAGCTTCTCCAAAGCCTTGTTAGCAGCGCGAAGTTTCGCATATCTACCAGACTTGCCAGCGGAATGTGCAATGATCTTGTCATGAACCATAACCACAGCCACGACATCCTTTCTCTCCATGCCGTCGACGCTAGGAAGCTCACGAGCCATGAGCCGATAGTCCACACAGCCGAAGGTCGTCTGGAGCATGTTATGAAGGTGCGTGCAAGGATGGTTGTTGGCGAAGCTGTCGTAGATAGTCATGTCGCCGAAGTAGCACTTGACGTGTTCTTCGAAGAAGCGTTGTACCTGGTTGTAATCGAAGTTGGAGTCAATGAACATGGCTCCAATATATGCCTCGACAATATCCGGAAGGCACTTTGGTGGATCGGAGACGGTAGTCCAGTAATCAACACAGCCCTTACCCGCAATGCGCTTGGCCTCAAGAAGTTCGGTCGCGTAGTCGCGAACTTGGTGCTCGAGGGTGGCGTGATGGTGACGCAGATGCTTGTGGAAGCCGATGTCGACGCACAGTGCGCCCAGGAACTTGTTGCTGACCATGGCCATCTTGTGCTCGGTAAGCCATTGCGGGTCCTTGTCTGGGTACTTGTAGAAGAGATAGGTGATGCTCGCCATGTCGAGAAGGGCATCGCCCAAGAACTCCAGACGCTGGTAGCTTGGTACTTTCTCGTACATGTACGGTACTGAAGGATGCATGAAGGCGGAGTACAGCAGGCGTGGATACGTGAAAGTATACGCATGCTCCTTCTCGACCCTCAGCGCCAGGTCCTTCTGTACTGCGGTTGATTCGCCTGTCTGGTACGCAGGCTTGTCGTATGCATCGATGTAATCCTGCCAGGTTTGCATCTTGTGATCGTCACTCTTGACTAGCTTTGTGACAGCACGAACAGCGTCTCGCCAATGCTCTGGCTCCCACGCCTCTCCAGGCTTGTCGTGACTCAGGTAAGCGGCACCAATCAATGCCTCGCAGACGTCCGCGATGGTCTTCTCGCCAAGTCCGACTTCGCGAGGCTCGTGGTACATCTCTTTTTCCTGGCCCTTGACAACTCCTGTACCAACCAGCAACTTCAATCCTTCTGGATACCAGTATCTCCGATTGAATGCCAAGCTTCGGATGTACTCGTAAAGCTTAAGCTGAAGTGCAGTCTGGTATAGATTCTTGTTGCAAAGCATCAGCATACGCCGGACGTGAAACTCGAATTCGTTCTCATTGGGGTTCATGATGAAGGTGGAGATTGTTGTCGCTGTCTTGAGGAATGTATCGCCGATGAACTCGAGGCGCTCGTAATTCTCGCCCATGCCGCGTTGAAAGTTGACACGCTCCTCAGCTTCGTGCTCTCCTTGATTGTCGGAGTCCTTGGTAAAGGCTGCCAATGCGAATTCTGGCCCGCATGTCACCCCGACCGCTTCACACCCCTCGATACTAATGAGACAAGATTCGAATCGGTGAGCGATCGCCGGCCACACGAAACATGAAGCTGCAACGTTTGGGGTGATTGCAGAGATACGCAGCGGCTCCGGCACAATGTAAGCTTTTGTGACGGGCGCCAATTCTTTTTGTTCTGGTGGTGCGAGCATGTTGCGGCGTTGAAGTACAATGTCCGCTTCCACGACTGGCTGATTTTGGGACCAAACCCTTGCTTGTCGAGACTTTTTCCATAGACTGACGCTGTAGTTCATGATACTGCCGCCTCGATTGCCTTTGCCCTTGCTAGCATGCTCTGGAATGGGATCGTCTTGGTGCAACGAGCTGTCGACGCCTATGGAGTAGAATTTGCGACTCCCATCGAACATGTCCACAATGAACTTGTCGACAAAGCGATCGTGTGGCGTACTTGGAGTCCACTTGTACTCGTCGTTATCGAGAACATCCTCCAGGAGACGCCAGTCGATGGCCGTCATGGGGTCAATGTTATGGGCTGATGATGCCTGGTCGGTAGACAGCAGAAGAGTGGCAGGCGCGAGCCAGTACGACAGCTTGGCCGCATCCTCTTCATAGGTCTTGCTGAACACATCGCGGAAGACGCGGAATGTGAATGCAGTCAGCTTCTTAAGCCGCTCTTGATCCACGAGTAGCGGAGCTCCTAGGTCGGCGGATTTGACGGTGGTCGCGCGTCCGTCATTAAGGTAGATTGGAAAAGAAGGAAATTGCGGCATCTGTGTTCTCGTCAAGAATGCGATAGGCTGATGAACACGATCAAGCTTCTCCGGGAAATCGATGACTGTGATCCAGAGTTGCACGGGCAATGTGCCTCGCTGTTCGGCCCAAATCTTTGGTTTGATGCGCATGGCATACTGGTTGGTCTTCTTCATGTCCACAGCTAGTAGCGCGTTTCGCATAGCAGGAAGCTTCCTCTGATATACCGGCATAAGGTTCTCGTTGATCCACGATTTCTTCCTCAACTCGATAACCGCCTCGAAGGCAGCTGATCGCTTCGCTAGTGTCTTCTTTTGGTGGACTTTGCCAATCATGGATCGAAGTGGAGAGTTGCCGGGCAGCACGACCTCGCAAACGAACTTCTGCCCGCGGGAAGACACGACATAGGTGGGATGCTGCATCTCGTGACCGTCGGTAGGTATTGCGGATACAAATGTAGCCAGGATGTTCAGTGCATTGCCGTACGTCAGCTTGGCCTTTGAGACGGGATCCACGCGGACCTCCATATTCCTCTCTCGTTCCATCAATGCTTCAATGCTATCCGAATTGCCTTGAAGCTTGCGATCCTCAGGAAGCTGGTCGCAGTACGCCCTCATGCTCAGCTCAGCGTACCGCACTTCGTTCACTGTTTCCTTGTGTATCGAGTTGCCGTTCTCCACCATATGGATGAATTTGGAATTCTGATTGCGAGCACGACCGCGCGATTGGACGTACTGGATCATCGTGGCGTACATGTCGAAGCGGATGATGAGATTGCAGTCGGGCACATCAAGACCCTCCTCCGCCACGGACGTAGCGAAAAGGCAGTTTAGATCACCCTTGCGGAATTTCAGTAGAACCATAACCTGCTGACGAAACGAGAAGTTGTCTTCGTCCTGGCCGGTGTTACCAGAGCCAATCAAGAATGTTGACTTCATGTGTGGAGACTTGATCCGCTGAAAGAGGCTGTTCAGAAGGCGGGCAGTGTAGCGTTTGTCAACAAACACAATGCAGCGGTTGCTCGATGGCCGCTCGAACTGCTCAGCAAGATATCTGTAGAGCTCATAGACCTTCGAGCTGATACGATCTCTCGTGATTTCCGTGTCGAGGATATTTCGATGCTCTTGTGCAAAGGCCACTGCAGCATCGATGCGCTTCAAGGCACGGTCAAGGGCAGCCACTTCTCGACCTGCATTGCGCGCGTGGAACTTCTGCTCCGCAGCAAGCTTGTATCTCTTAGACTTCTCGTCAGAAAGGCAGTCAAGCAGATAGAAATCTGCACACCACGAGCCCAGGTGTCGCGCAACTTCGGCGGCACGGGTAAAGATTTTGGTGAATTGAGTCATGTCGCTGTAGCGGGCTCTAACGGCTTGTAAAAGCGGCGTCTCGAAGCCGGCCTGGGGAAGAGAGGGATATCTCATAATTTGTTCCTTGGGCTTCTTGATAGCGCTCGATAAGCTCATGTCGGATGTGGTGGCGATTTTCGAATCAAGGAGTGCCTCGAGCTCGTGCGCGGCTTGGATGACATCCATTTTGGCATCGATGGGACTGGCGGTCATGCCGAAGATACGTGGTCGATCGTGTACTTCTTCTTCGAGATAGAAGTCCTTGATGATTCTGCGGGTGGTAAGCTGTGAACATGATGTAATAGGAGGCTGACGTACCTCGCGTATGAATGGTTCTTCTTGGTATGGTGCGCCTCGTCGAAAATGAGGAGATTGATCTGCTTCATAGTGAGGTAGCCAAAGGAAAGTGCTTGGAACAGAATCTCGGCAGTACAGACGATTGCCTTGTTCTCGTAGCACTCCTTCATCCAACGAGTCTTGTCCCATCTGTCAGTATTGTCGGCTCCACAAAGTCTGGCGACCTTGTGATCAAGGTTGGTCTCGAGCACTGCAAATTGCTGGTATACCAAAGTCACGCTTGCCACCAGAAAGAACGAGATCTTTGCTTGAGATCCCTTGGCACGGTTCTCAATCTCGTGGTCAATGATCCATCGAAGAAGCAAGACTGCAATCAATGTCTTGCCTGAGCCCGTGTCGAGGACCGCGATGGTATTCTCCTGCTTTGCACGCTCGAACAGTTCAATCTGATACTCGCGAGGGTTCTTCACAATCTGCGTGTCGCGCTGCTGCTGCGCAAGTAAGGAGTGCACCGACTGCTCTTCATCGAGACCAGACTTGGGCTTCCCATCGCGGTTCTTGGGCTTCAGCGCTTCTTGTCCGGCGGAGCTCGTGATCCATGTGTCGAAAATGGCCTTCTGTGCTCTGCGTTTCTCCTTCCAGGTGATGGGGCCGGCGGCGGTTGGCATGCCATCGTCTTCATCCCCAGACCCCATAAAGCCATCCTCATCGGCCTGCTCGCTCTCGGGCGGATCTGCTATATTCGGCGCGCCCATGATGCCGGACTGTCAAGGCGACGGCGACGCGTCCAAGTGTGTGGTCGTGTTCTTATCGTGTTAGTCAAACAGCTCAGGCTGTCTGTGAGCAATGTGCGACTCGTCTCATCACATGTGGATGACTCCCGCGCGCATGTGGAGTCGTACAGCAGCCCGACTGCTTGCTGCTGCGACGGAGTTGTCGCGTTTGTTTGTGGTCGTAGTGGAAGTGGTGCTGATTGGTAGTTCTACGGAGTGAGCTCCGTCGTGGGGCGAGCTCAACTTCAGAAGCAAGCTGATGTAAGATCAGCTTCACCCTTCACCTGCAGCAGCATCCCAAGATGGCAGAGAACGAGCAAAGGTCCCTCCGCTCAGTCTACAGCGACGCCGAGCAGAAACGCACAAGCATCGAAAACAGCTTCGACTCAAACTCAGCGAGCTTCCAAGACAACCTCACCGCGGCCATCCAGCTCTACGAAGAATGCATAAAGCTCGCCGAGCAAATCTCACTCTTCTCACCAAACGAATCCCTCGAAGACATCGGCACAGCAGACCTTCAATACCTGCTCCTCCACCACCGAATAGCAGAGCTCGTACAGAAACTCAACACCGGCTTCGAGCACCGCAAAGCCAACCTCGAACGAGCCCAACGACATTACGAACGCTACCTCAAACAACTCGACAACTACGACATCCTCTCGAAAGACGACGCACAACTCCTAGAACAATACCACGACTCACCCACCACATTCTCCACAGCCAGCACAGCAGACGCCGCCCTACGAAGAGAAACCAAAATTCGCAGATTCAAAGAAGAGAAGTCCTTGAAGCAAAAGCTAGAATTTCTTCGCCAAAATCCGAGATTAGTGCAGGAAGATGATAGTCAAGCACGGGAAATCCAATTGACGGAGATTGCGTATTGTGCGCATCAAAGCTTTGCGAGTTTGGAAGGGATCGCGCAGGAACTGCATATTCTGTCGAAAGCTCCTCCGCCTGCTCAACCGCAGAATGGGCAGGGACCCAGCGACACTCGAGAGCGGGAGCGTGCGAGGTTTGATAAAGGGTACAGGGACCGTCTTGATGGGCGTTCACATCTTTCGGCGGGTATGAAGGGTCCGTTGCTTGATAAGAGTGGGAAGCCTTTGAGGCCTTTTACGCTGCTTGCAAGGGATGAGATGAGGCAGGGTGTTTTTAGGCCGGACCATAGCTTGCCGACTATGACGATTGATGAGTATCTGGAGGAAGAAAGGAGAAGAGGTGGTATGATTGATGGAGGTGGAGAGGCAAGTCGGCAGCAGAAGGTGGTGGACGAGGATGACATGGATGCTGCAGATCAGGCGACGTATAAGGCAAGGGAGTGGGATGAGTATGTGGAAGCCAATCCTAAGGGGAGTGGAAATACGATCAATAGAGGTTGAGGTGTTGGAAATATTGGACTGCCTCCTGATGCCGATGCTTCTCGCCGGCTACTTCAACGCGCACTCGACACTAATGATCCAAGTAATACGGCCTTGAGAGCCTTTCCAATAATGGCTCAAAATCAAAACTCACCAGTCCATGCAACTGCTTTGACCCACATCTTCCTAACGCTCGTTCCGCGCTCAACTGCTCTTCTCCCTTCTTCTGCCCAATCAGCTTGACCAATCTGGCAATCCCTCGCGCTTTCTCCGCCCGATATCACCACCGTTGCTGGAAAGCTAGTCGTCATTCTTCCACAATGTCGAAAAGCTCTCCGACTTTGGGATCTCGATCAAATCACACGGCTGCTCGTCTCAACAGAGATCACTCCGCAAGCACCTTTGCACAACTCCATCTTTCGCCAAGACCACTCCACGAACGCCGTGCGTGCTGCAAATCGCCCGAAGGATTTGAAGACCACGGCGAGAGCGGCGCCGGCATCCTCCTTCCCGTATTGTTTCACGTAGACTTCGAAATGCGGGCCGTTGGCTGATCGAGACGGTTCGGAAAGAAAGCGGTGGAGCGCTCCGCACTTTTCCTTGTTGGAAGGCAGGGCGAAGTAGAGTTCTCTTTGAAGTGGAGGCGAGTTGGTAATGGTGTCCCGGAATGTCTTGTTCACACTTTGGCTCAGCAGAACGGTACGGATACCGTATATGAGAAGTCGGGCAGCCTCTCCATCGGTGACGTCGAGTGAGATATGTTCGAGCAGTTCGAAGGTGTTGGCGCGCGCCGGCGGATGTGTTGATGTTCGTCATACCCGAATTTGTCAGAGATCACAACATCCCATCATAGCGACGTGAAACAGACCGTGTGTTTGTTTTCGGGCGTGTCGATTTTGGTATTAAAAGGGAAAAGATGAAGTTTGCAGTCACGACGATTCGCCGGGAACAGGCCGAGTCTCTTTGCAGCAACAGGCAAGTGCGAAATGGAGAAGCGGGAACGACGACCAGTGTTGGTCAACACGTGGAAACTTTACCAATTCCCGTCGGCTACCATGGAACCTGAAGAATCTTTCCCCGAGCAGATATCGAATCCTTCACCTCAAGTTGAGTGAAACAGCTTGCTTTCCTCGCGATCCTCGACCAGATACCACCACTTAGGATCATCCCAGGGCTTCGTACAATCTCAGCATTCCCTAGATGCCCATATGCTCTCGGCTATGGCACACGGCGGAGCCTTTAAAACACTGCATCGAATAGCTGCCCAAGCGTCGGGTTCTCCAACTTCTTCTCGAAGGTCTTCTCGTGAGTCTTCTCCTGCTCAAGTTCGCTGCAAGACTTTACGCGGCAGAAGTTGTAATCACGCCGGTAAAGATCGGTGCAATACTTTACGCGGTCGATACTGTATGCATGCTGGTAGAGGTACATCCGCCGCCAGGAGCCATGCTTGGCGGTGCTGGCATCCTCGAGTTCTGGAAGGCATCTGACCCGGTTCATGACCAGGTGCCCAACCTGTTCCCAGTCATCCGGCCTGACGCGCAAATACGTGCCTTCGCTCAGACTGATGTGTTCCCAGGAAGTCAATGGGTTGAGGTCGTGGCGCGGCAATGGTGGGTCGGGCATCGTGAACCAGAGTTCCCTCTGAAGATGTGGCGAGTTGGCAATGGTGTCGCGAAATGCCCGGCTCACACGCTGGCTGACGAGGGCGCGCCGAATGATTCTGGATGATGAATTTGGCCTCTCCAGCACATTTCTGAGGATCTGCTCGAGCAGCTCGAATGTGCCGGCAACACGTGCTCCAGCGGAGTGAGGGTTGGCGGCCATCTTGGACGTAGGTATGTCAGCGTCTTGGCCAGTAATTGGGGTTGGGACCATCACCTTGGTGATGACGACTCAGCGATCACTGCGGTGGTGATGCCAGAAGTCTCTGGAACAACTGGAAATGTAAACAGCGGAAATCTCCAACAGTGCCAAGAAAGAGATAGAGGTCCGTGCTTGAAAAGAGAGGCAAGGAATGGGGCGAGTCTGGAAGACAAGAGCGGCATCTGAGATAGCCATCTGCTAAGCCCGAGTGTGCAGTCTAATGCCTTGGCGCACCTTCGGCCACCGTGGCCATGCTCAAAGCTCAGGAACCCTCACCCTCAAGAATTGACTTAGCCAAGTAACATCCACACCCAGTCTCCAAGCGACCTTCAATACCCACTCTTTGTCGATTCACCAAGATCACATCAGCCATCGGTTCTCTGCCCTCGCTCATCGCCTTCGCCACTATCTTGCCCTCCGTCCCATTCACAATATCCCTCGCCTGCTCAGCCTCAGTAATCAACCCAACCGCCCCAATCAACAACTTCTGATTCGCAGCTTTGAGCTCCTTTCGAATCCTCGCCTGGGACTGAGGGGTTGGGGGTGGGTTTGGAGGGCATGGTTTGCTGCTGGATGGAAGGGATCCAAGGGCTGAGCGAATGTAGGATGGACCGGTTTGCATGAACCTCTATCTAGCTTGATGTTGAAGGTATATTAATACAACTCGGAAATTGCCAAATGATTCGGAATGAAAGTAATCGAGTGAGGTAGTGATGATAGGATGTTTCTACGGAAGTTTCTTACTATAGGCACTAGTGTTTATGTGGCTCGAAGAGCCACAAGTAAAGGCCGAAGAGCTATAAGTAAAGGCTAAGGCGACGAGCGGGGTAGGGTGAGCTAGATTACTATTAGAAACGCTTATAGTAAGATAGTCTAAAATATCTAAAGTAACTACTTCCGGAATACGCCTATAGTAATTACTATCCGGAATACCTACAGCGAGTACTATTCGAAATATCTATAGTATATAGTTCTTTCTAAGTAGGAACGCTTATAGTAAGTACTATCTATAAGGCGTATAGTAAGTCTAATCTAAAACGCCTAAAGTAATTTTAATCTAAAATACTTATAGGAATTCTAATTTAGAATACTTATAATACTAAGTACTATTTAGAACGCGTATAGTAACTCTAATCGGGAGCGCTAATAGTTAGTACTACTATCTATAACGCTTATACTAAGTTTTATTTAGAACACGCTATATAGTAATTCTAATCCGAAACGTATATACTAAGTCCTATCCGGAACGCGTATAGTAAGTACTATCCGGAACGCGTATAGTAAGTACTATCCGGAACGCGTATAGAAAGTCTAATTCGGAACGCTAATAGTAAGTACTATTAAGAACGCTTATAGTAAGTAGTACTATCTAAAATACCTACAGTAAGTACTATTTAGAATACTTATAGCAAGTTATATCCGAAACGGTTATAGTAAATACTACTAAAAACGTTTATAGCGAGTACCCTATATAACGCCTACTACGAGTACCCTATAAAATGCCTATAGCGAGTACTCTATAGAATATATATAGCGAGTAGTACTATCCGGAACGCGTAGGATAAGCCTTATTTTAAACGCTTAGTACAGTTAGTTCTATATAGACCGGAACGTTTCGAACTGTTTATAGTAAGTACCTTATATAACGCCTACTACGAGTACCTTATAAAACGCCTATAGTAAGCACTCTATAGAATATCTATAGCGAGTAGTACTATCCGGAACGCGTAGGATAAGCCTTATTTTAAACGCTTAGTATAGTTAGTCCTATATAAACCGGAACGCGTATACTAAGTCTAATCTAAAACGCTTATAGAAAATCTTATCCGGAATATATAAAGTAAGTCTAAGTCTAATCTAAAACTAAATACTTATATTAACTACTACGAACTATTTATAGCGAGTACCCTATATAGCGCCTACTACGAGTACCCTATAAAACGCCTATAGCGAGTACTCTATAGAATATCTATAGCGTACTACTATCTAAAATACCTATAGTAAGTACTATTTAGAGTACTTATAGCAAGTTATATCCGAAACGCTTATAGTAAATACTACTAAAAACGGTTATAGCGAGTAGTAGTATTCGAAACGCTTATAGCGGTTACTATCCGAGATATCTATAGCGAGTAGTACTATCCGGAACGCTTTAGAACGCGCTATATAGCAATTCTAATCCGAAATGCTTATACTAAGTCCTATCTAAAACGCGTATAGTAAGTACTATCCGGAACGCGTATAGCAAGTCCAATCTAGAACGCTAGTAGTAAGTACTATTAAGAACGCTTAGGCTTGTGGCAAGTAGTACTATCTAAAATACCTATAGTAAGTACTATTTAGAATACTTATAGCAAGTTGTATCCGAAACGCTTATAGTAGATACTACTAAAAATGCTTATAGCGAGTAGCAATATTTGAAACGCTTATAGCGGCAACCGTCCGAGATATCTATAGCAAGTAGTACTATCCAGAACGCTTATAGTAAGTCTAATCTAAAACGCTTATAGAAAGTCTTATCTTAAATATATAAAGCAAGTCTAAGTGTAATCCGGAACTGGATACTTATATTAAGTACTATCCGGATTCCGGAAGGCCTATAGCGAGCAGTACTGTCCGGAACGCTTACAGCAAATACTATCCAAAGCGCCTATAGCAAACAGTATTCGAACTGTTCACAGCGATCACCCTATAAAACGCCTATAGCGAGTACTCTACAGAATATCTATAGCGTACTGCTGTCTACAACGCCTATACCAAGTTTTATCCAGAACGCGCTATACAGTAATTCTAATCTAAAACGCTTATAGAAACTCTTATCCGGAATATATAAAGTAAGTCTAAGTCTAATCCGAAACTAAATGCTTTTATTAAGCACTATCCGGAAGGCTTATAGCGAGTAGTACTATCCGGAACGCTTATAGTAAATACCATCTAAAACGCCTATAGTTAAATAGTATTCGCACTATTTACAGCAAGTACCTTATATAACGCCTCCTACGAGTACCCTATTAAACGCCTATAGCGAGTACCCTATAGAATATCTATAGCGAGTAGTACTATCCGGAACGCTTACAGTAAATACTATCGAAAACGCCTATATTCGAACTACCTATAGCGAGTAACCTATATAACCTCTACTACGAGTATCTTATAAAACGCCTATAGTAAGCACTCTATAGAATATCTATAGCGAGTAGTACTATCCGGAACGTATAGGACCCTATAAAACGCCTATAGCGTACTACTATTTATAGCCTATACTAATTTTTATTTAGAACGCGCTATATAGTAATTCTAATCCGAAACGCTTATACTAAGTCTTATCCGAAACGCGTATAGTAAGTCTAATTCGGAACGCTAATAGTAAGTACTATTAAGAACGCTTATAGCAAGTATGTACTAAGTCTTATCCGGAACGCGTATAGTAAGTCTAACTCGGAACGCTTAATAGTAAGTACTATTAAGAACGCTTATAGTAAGTAGTACTATCTAAAATACCTATAATAAGTACTATTTAGAACACTTATAGTAAGCTATATCCGATACGCTTAGCCTTTCGAGTATACCGCCTCGAGTAAATATCCCCGGATTAGGCGTAAACGACTATATAGCCTCGAGTAAATACTACCGGATCGGGCGTAAAAGATATATATAGTATCGGAAATACTACTATTATAGCGGCGAAGCCTTACGATACATACTACGACTACTATGTCCTCCGAACTAGTCGCGAACTAAGGAGTTTTAACGTTCCTCGGATATAGCTAATTAGAGGCGGCTTTTAGATCGTTTTAAGCCGTACTAAGCCTAAAGTAGACCTACGGTTTGTTAAGTTATTATTATATTAGAGATAGCGTAACCGCGTAATACCGCCGCGAGCAAATACCGCCGGATTAGGCCTAAAAGTTAGATATACCCTTCCGGAATACTACTATCGCGGCGGCAACGCGTTATAATATAGACTCCGCGTAATACCGCCGCGAGCAAACACCGCCGGATAAGGTACATACGACGAAGACGCCCTTTTCGAGACTACTATCGAAGTTATAGCTCGTCGCGGTATATACTACGACGTCTACGCCTTTCCGGATCGTAGAGGTGTTTACGTTCCTCGCGTCTACTAATTAGAGGCCGCGGTTGGCCTATTTTAAGCCGCACTAAGCCTAAAGGGGCCCTAACTTTTGTTAAGTTGTTATATTTTAGACTATCTAAAACGCCTACAGTTACCAAATAGTATTCGAACTACTTATAGCGAGTACCTTATATAACGCCTACTGCGAGTACCTTATAAAACGCCTATAGCGAGTACTCTATAGAATATCTATAGCGAGTAGTACTATCCGAAACGCGTAGGCTAAGCCTTTCGAGTATACCGCTTCGAGCAAATACCGCCGGATTAGGTATAAACGACCGATATAGCATCGGAAATAATACTATCGTAGCCTTAAGATATATACTACGACTCCTACAATCTCCGAACCGCTTACGAACTATATACTACGACTCCTATAATCTCCGAACCGCTCGTAAACTAAGAAATTTTAAAGTTCCTCGGCTATAGCTAAGTAGAGTCGGCTTTTAGCTTATTTTAAGCCGTAGTAAGCCTAAAGGGGCCGTAAGTACCCTATAAAACGCCTATAGCGAGTACTCTATAGAATACCTATAGCGAGTAGTACTATCCGGAACGCGTAGGACAAGCTAACTACTATCTATAACGCCTATAGAAAGTCTAATTTAGAACGTTTATAATAGTAACTTAGTAAGTACTATTCGGAACGCGTATAGCAAGTCTAATCCGGAGCGCTAATAGTTAGTACTACTATCTATAACGCTTATACCAAGTTCTATTTAGAACGCGCTATATAGCAATTCTAATCCGAAACGCCTATACTAAGTCTTATCCGAAACGCGTAGAGTAAGTACTATCCGGAACGCGTATAGTAGGTCTAATTTAGAACGGTAATAGTAAGTACTATTACGAACGCTTATAGTAAGTAGTACTTTCTAAAATACCTATAGTAAGTACTATTTAGAATACTTATAGCAAGTTATATCCAAAACGCTTATAGTGAATACTACTAAAAACGCCTATAGCGAGTAGTAATATTCGAAACGCCTATAGCGGTAACTATCTAAGATATCTATAGCGAGTAGTACTATCCGGAACGCGTAGGACAAGCCTTATTTTAAACGCTTAGTATAGTTCGTCCTATATAAACCGGAACGCGTATAGCAAGTCTAATAATCTAATCCGAAACGCCTACAGAAAGTCTTGTCCGGAATGTATAAAGTAAGTCTAAGTCTAATCCGAAACTAAATACTTATACGAAGCACTATCCGGAAGGCCTATAGCGAGTAGTACTATCCGGAACGCTTATAGCAAATACTATCTGAAACGCCTATAGTTAAATAGCATTCGAACTATCTATAGCGAGTACCCTATATAACGCCTATAGCGAGTACTCTATAGAATATCTATAGCGAGTAGTACTATCCGGAACGCGTAGGATAAGCTAACTATTATCTATAACGCCTATAATAGGTCTAATTCAGAACGCTTATAATACTAAGTACTATTTAGAACGCGTATAGTAAGTCTAATAACTCTAATCCGGAGCGCTAACAGTTAGTACTACTATCTATAACGCCTATACTAAGTTTTATTTAGAACGCACTATATAGCAATTCTAATCCGAAACGCTTATACTAAGTCTTATCCGGAACGCGTAGAGGAAGTCTATCCGGAACGCAAATAGCAAGTACTATTAGGAACGCTTATAGCAAGTAGGACTATCTAAAATATCTATAGTAAGTCCTATTTAGAATACTTATAGCAAGTCTAATCCGAAACGCTTGTAGTAAATACTACTAAAAACGCTTATAGCGAGTAGTAATATTCGAAACGCTTATAGCAGTAACTGTCCGAGATAGCTATAGCGAGTAGTACTATCCGAAACGCTTATAGCAAATACTATCTAAAACGCCTATAGTTAAATAGGATTCGAACTATTTATAGCGAGTACCTTATCTAACGCCTACTATAAGTACCCTATAAAACGCCTATAGCGAGTAGTACTATCCGGAACGCGTAGGATAAGCCTTTCGAGCCTACCGCTCCGAGTAAATACCGCCGGATTAGGCGCGAACGATACCGCCTCGAGCAAAAAACGCCGCCGGATTAGGCGTAAACGACGGAGACGGCCTCGGAAACACTACTATCGCGGCGCCGGAGCGTTATAGTCGATACCGCGACTCCTACGCCCTCCGGACCGCGCGAGAATCGAGAAATTTTAAAGTTCCTCGCCGCCGACTAATTAGAGTCGGCTTTTCGGTCGTTTTAAGCCGCACTAAGCCTAAAGGGGCCCCAACTTTTGTTAAGTTGTCATATTATAGATTCCTTCCGGAATCTAGAAGTTTGTAGACAAAGACCTAGTTTGTAGCCGGCTTTGAATTTGCAAATCTATTTAAAGATTATTAGTTTAAAAAGGAAGTATAAAGTATAGCTAATTCGCAGTTCGGGGCTTTCTCCTTAGTCTTATAGCTCGAAGTAGCAGCATGCGGTTATAATATCAAAGATCTGAAGAAAGGAAGGAAATCGATGCTTTCGTCATTGTATAGCTGTCTATTACCGGGAGTGCGTCAGGGATGGGGTATCGACGAAAATGTGCTGCGAATTTCTAGACCAAGCTGTACACCTGCAAATGCAATGCAATGCAGCGCTATGCAACGCTCAATTACGAGCTACTCGGATCACTGCATGCTCCTCAATTTCTCCTGCTCTTCGGTAGTGAGGGCATTGAAGACCTCTGCGAATTCTGGCTTCTGTGCTTGCTGCTGGAAGAAGCTCAATAGATACTGTTGGGTTTCGTCGTCTCTGCCACGGCTAGTCGCTGGACCATCCTCAGCAGCGAAAGCCATGAGTTGCGATTTTGTCATTCCTGATCCGAGATCGAGGAAGTCGTCGCCGTCGTCTTCCCAGTCTCCATCATCCTCATCACCATCGTCTAGTTCGGCTGCAGCTGCAGCATCAATGTTGCGCTGAGCTCCGGAAGCCGAAAGAAGTTCTTCGACAAGAACTTTGATGATCTTGAGTTGCGCCGGAATGACCGTGTATTGATCTGGCTGCTGTTTAGCACGTGATCGGGTTAAGATACGATCTGATTTGGGCACAATAAGGTCACCTTTGACCTGGATCTGTGCAAGGCGAGGATCTTGAAGCTCGTATAACTTGGACAGCGCAACAACACTAGTCGAGTCAGTCAGTATCAATCTGTCATGTGAGGAGTGTTTGGCTTACTTTTGACGGATGTCGTCGTAGCCTGCAAAGTTGATGGAGTTTTCCAACCACTTGCTAATGACCACCTGCAGGCCATTTTGATCGCCAATGCGAACATCAGCGAGGAAGCCCACCACATCCGAGGCGGAGATCAGAGAAAGTCTTGCAAACACGAGGATCAAGCTCTGAATAAATTGTGCTTGAGAGGCGGTGGCCAGCCGCACGGCAACAGCTTGGAGCAGCTGCATGAGATATGGCCCAAGCTTGTCCGAACCCGCCTTCTCGACAACTTCTGCAGCCAGACCACCGACCTCAGAAGCGCCGTTGTCGTCCACGGATGGATTCAGAAGTCGATCGATGATAATCAGAACAACTTCAAGACCGCCTTTGCCGGCTTGGTCCTGGAAATTGAACACTTGTTCCGAGTCGTGGTGCAGCATGTGCTTGACCGCACAAGTGGCGGACTTGAGAAGCTCATCGTCTTGCGAGCCAAGAAGAAGCCGGGTAAGACGAGGCATGACTGTCGTGATAAAGCCTGCTGGCAGTGGGGTCGAGCCATTCTCAGCCAAGACTGCGAGCAGTTCGGCGGCGAGGTTTGCAAGAGCGTTTTCTTCCGTCAAAGTGGCAACATCGAACGCGCCCATAAGGGATGGTAAGACTTTCTGTACAAGCTGTGCGTACGAGTCGCTCCCAGACTCCGAAATTGTTCTTGCAATCTCTTCGAAAGTCTCGGTTACCAGAAGCGCGATCTGGAAGTTTGTTGCTCCCCGGCTCGCAGCGGTAAACAGCAAGTCAATACCACCTCCGGTCAGACACGTTCTGGTATCCAAGAGTAGGGCATCGCGTAAAGTTTCGATGATGGTGATGAGCAGATCATCGTTGTCGTCCAGTTCGCTGAGGTCTTGAGTGTTGAGGAAATTCGACAAAGACGTGATTATGGCTGGCTGCTTTTGCAGTGTAACTGCCGGTGGAAGCGACGCAAGATAGTACTGAAGCGCACGGATGCATGAGACCTTGACAATCTCGGACTCGTCGCTTGATATGGCTAGGAGCGTGGCCTCCATGAACGATGTGGCTACTGATTGGAGAGCCTCGCCGGATGTCCTCGTGAGGCTTCCCGCGACCAAGTAACCTCTGGCGCGAAGGAAGACTGGTTCTTCTTGCATTGCGTATTTGATGAAGTCGACGTAGCCGTTCGCCGACTCAGGGCCGATCTGTTTCTCGACATCTTGGAAATCGCCCAGAAGCTGATTGAGTAGGTACAGGGCGGCTTCCTTGACCTTCCAGCCTGCATTCTCAGAGTATAGGGAGCGTGTATATGCCAAAAGACCTTCGACAGTAGCATTGTTGAGCCACTCGCCCAGCTTGATAACGAGATCACCGCATGCCGATCGTGGCGTATAATTGGCAGTGACGTTGACTTCTTCGGAGAGGAAAACATTGACATCGATATCCCATAGGCCTTCCTCCTCGGTAGTGATTTGCGCATATGCCACTGCGACTTTCATGACGTCGGTAATCCACGTGGTGCCACCTGCTTGAGATTGCAATTGTTGCTCGAGCTCTTTTCGCACGGGCGGAGCACGCAAGCAGGCCTGCATGAAGTCGAGTTCCTCAAGCACCAGGAAGTCCAGCGTAAATGGCAAACCATCGGCATCTTCAAGTCTTCCTTGGCCAAAGTCTTCTATGTACTGTTGGAAGTACTGAGCTTGAAGGGTTGAAAGTTCTTGCCAGGTGGCTGAGAAGAGAGCTGGACTGTGCGGCGAAAGCATTTGAGAGAACAAGGTGCGGATGCGCATCAGAACCTTGACGACTTGCAGCTTGAGTGCGACTGAGCCACGATGGTGTTCTGCAGCAGCATCTTTCTTTCCTTCGGCTGGTGCTGGAGGGAGTGGAGTTTTTAGAGACTCAATGGCAAATGAGATCCAGGCGCCCAGATTCTCCTCAGCAAACGCCTTCACAGCAGCCTTGTGATCTTCCATGACCATCTCAAGCAAGTCAAAACAAGATCGAAATACGGAGACAGCAAGTGCTCGCAGCGCCGCTGGTCGAGCGTCATTTGCAGCGACATCGTAAACGACCTTGACCAGATCTCGTGCGACGTTGAAGAATTGTTCATCGTTGAAAGAGTCGTCGACCAGCTCATTCAGAACTTTCAAGGCGCCATGGAGCTGGGCATCGGTGCCAGTTGCAACGACATTGAGAACAGTCGGGAGAAGGTCTGGCCAGTCTTCGGGAAAGTCGGCGCTGGCAATCTTGCTGACCACGAGACTGGCGGCGCTCTTGATCTTCCTCTCGTCCCGCCCGCTCACGGCAAGATCAAGCAGTTGCTGGCGGATTTGAGCCTTCCTGGCCTCGTCGGCAAACAATGGGCCATTGAATTCGTCAAAACTGGTGGACCAGCAGGCGAGCACCCAATTCTTGAGCACCAGCAAAGCCGCCTGTCGCACTTCCAGGGGAACATTGTCATGTGCTCCGATTGAGATCAGGGCAGCTGGAAAGTCCGGGTTGGGATATTGCTGCTTCAGCTGCCATTCGGCATTCTTCCGCGGAGCCTCCTGGGCGGACTGCGTTTCGGTAAGCAGACGCACTAGTTGCTCCTCCATTTCGAGGCTGGCTCAGCTCCTGGCAGCGCTGCCACTGGTGTAACAAGCGATGCGCACCGAGGCCCACAGGTATGACTGCTGTCTTGGAGTCTCTTCGGTGGACGTCGTCGGCGTCTCTACGCTGAGAGGGGAGTCCCACTGTGCGCGCTGGCCGCAAGGTTGACTGCAGGATATATCTTCAGCGGGAATAATACATGTAGTGCAGCTCACAGAAGGTCGGGATGATGTTGAGCCGGCGTATTTCTTGATCAAGTGCAAGTGAAGATCTTTAGTTGCGCTGAGTCGCGTCACTTTCGCGCCGCGGGACCGAACCTTGTCTTGGCTTGGCAGCGAGGGGTCGCACCGGTCGCGTCGCACCGGCGTCGAAAGGACAGCAGTCACAGTGCAACTTCTTGCAATCCATCAGCACGCATCAACACGCAGATGTCGGTGTCGGGCAAGCAGCATGCCCCCGCCCCAGGAGCCGCCGACGTTCCGCATGTTCGTGACGGCATTCACCGACTTCCTCGCGGTGGCCATCCACACCATCCTGTACGAACGCCAAATCTATCCTGCCACCGCCTTCATCTCCGCCAAGAAGTATAACTTTCCCGTCCGACAGAATCGCCACCCACAGGTCTGCGAATGGATCAACGATGCGGTCAATGCCGTGGAAGCCGAGCTCTTCAAAGGCAGCGTCGAGCGTGTGGCGGTCGTCATCTACAGTAAGCAGGCCAAGCCGCTGGAAAGAGTCGTGTTTGACGTGTCCCGCTTTCCGGTCGTGCCGTCTGCGCAGTTCGATGTCCCTCTCGAGCGAGTGGAGGCGGACGGATCCCAGGCCGTCATCCTCCCACGCGTCGATCTGGAGGAACAATTGCGAGCCACCATGAGCCGTCTATCCAACTGCGGCTCCACCCTCAAGACCCTGCCCCCGGGCTGCTCTTTCACTGTCGCAATCGAGCTCAAAGCTGCGAGTGCGGCGCCCTTGAAACACCCTCAGCCATGGGTGCCAGCCGAGCGTCAATCACCCTCATACGACGAAGCTTCTGACGCACACACGCATACAGTGCCCGTGAGGTCGGTCGCCGCAGGAGAGATGGTCTTCGAAACGTGGCTTGAAGAGCTCGAAGATCAGTCCCCGGCAGGCCTTTCGGATTCATTCTGAGGCGGACGGACGAGGTAATCATCATCCTCGTAGAACACTGGTCCAAGCTGTGTCGCCATCCTTACTTCTGTGAGAGCGTCAGCAACATCGCGCTACGATCGCAAGAGAGAATCAAGGATCATGTTGACTCTGGGGACCGACTGGTGGCCCTGCAGCAAGTCGGCATCACCGCAGATCTACAATCCTTCGAAGGAGCTCTGATCGATCGCATCGCTCCACCTGGCGGCAAGCTGATGTAATACCGCGCTACTGCGAGGCCAGCAGTTTGGTAACGTCGACCACATCTTTACATGCATCCTAGGATCATCTTTGCAGATCACAAAGGAATGGCACTTTCAGGACTCACAAACTTAGCCATCTGCAGATGCTGCTTGGTCCGTTCTCTAAGATCATTTTCACTAGGCAAAAAATCCCGAAGCGACCAAGGAAAATGCACATCGCTAAGGCAACAAGTCGAGCGGGACATATGCTTTGTGAGTTCGAAGCAATTGACGCAAAATCGCAAAGCGACCGCCACAGCTGCAGCCTTTGGCCTGGTTATATACGGGAATTCTGCGGCAATGAAGAAGAGAATGTATTGTGAGCAGCAATGTGCGTGCTACCGACCTGCGCTCGCACCGTGAAGCAGCCGTCTATTTTGACGACTTCCCAAAAGCTAGACCGCTCGACAGTGCACGATAAATCTGACCAGCCTTGAAGGATGTGTTGCCTGAGGACATGGTCTTGGCACGCTCTATTTGCTGGCAACTCTTGAAATGTCTGCCAGATGATGCGTAAGCGTTTTTGAGCTTCGCCTGAGGACATTATGATCTGGACTCTGGATATATCTTCCACTCGACCCTCCGATTATTCCAGACTCCAAACCACTTCTCATCTGCTTCTCACCTTCGATACAGACTTGCTTGCCCACAAAATCACGCGATCAAGTCACACCTTGCGTCAATACGAAATCTTCTTTACCCAGTGCCTCGTTCACAATGAGGACCGGAAGTGCGATCACCGGCCTCGCCGGCCTCGCCTCAATTTCAAGTGGCGTAACTGCTTCGCTGCCCAACATCATCGCAGGCTGCGATCACATTTGCAAGCAGCGGATGCTGTACTCAACACTCGATGCCGGGGTAAGATTCGGCGTCGATCTGGCCTTGGATGCCTACAATTCCGCCAAATGGTGTGCCTCTGAGGATTCGTGTCCAGCCACCATCGATTCCGCGTGCAGTATGATCACCAGGAGATTGATTAGCGGAGCCGGGCACGTCCTCAGAAATGGCGATGATGTGGATTACGTCAACTTTGAGGCCAAATCGTTTCAACAAGCAACATACTGGGGCGCAGAGTGGGGATACCGAGCTTTGAACCGCACCAGCGAAGGCATCGATATCAATCCAGTTGCCATGAAGCGTTTGAAGAAAACTTTGAAGTACTTCCCGATAATGCCAGAGGGATCGGTTGTCAATGAAGAGGCTTTCGAGGAGGAAATGAACAAGCCCTCTCCAGCGAAACCTGCGCCCTTGATGCAGCCGAGAGATGTTGCTCCACTTACTTCGACTACCTCGCCGAGTAGAGGTGCTTGTGGGATCTTGCCTTCGTTCACCACGCACTATAATGCGCAAGGGTTGAACGTGACAATCGACCTCTGTGCACATTCGAACGATGCGATAGGTACATATCCTACCCTGACTTCAGCCCATTCGACATCGATGACCGATTCCGGACCAGTTACTACGACTGTGAATTCTGCTACAAATGGAGAGACGCCCACTGCTTCAAAATCAACATCGGAAGCGCTGGTCACCGCTATTCTACCTGGTGGATCAACCGCGATCGTGACGGCTCTTCTACCGGCAGGATCGCCTACTGCGTTACCAGAGACAAGTGACACTGCTGCGATCTCCGACTCCGCTAGCACGTCTGCTGCTGCAACCACAACACGAAGTTCTCTCGCAACCTCTTCGCACCATGCAACGAGACCATCCACTGTCAATTTTGCCACAACTTTGCCAGCTCACGATCCGTCGTCGCAGCCTAAATCCGCATCTTCGTCTTCTCTCGAACACACAGCTCCCGCCGATCCGAAATCCGTTGGATCCTCAAGTGTGGCATCTTCCACCCAAAAGACAGCGGGATCTTCTCCGACCGGCAGCGATCCGCATTCAAGCCAAACCTCCGCTCATCCGCCGAGTGCTGGAGAAAGTTATGGTGCTAATGATTATGACGAAGACGACGAGCATGATGACCATAAACTCCTCTTGGGACTTGGTGTTGGCCTAGGTCTCGGCGTTCCGGTAGTTGGCGGAGTCCTCTGGGCCTTGGGCGATCACTTTCTGGTCGAGAAAACGCTCAGCGCCATCATCAAAGACACTGTGCTCAAAGGAGCCGTGTGGCTCAAATCTCTCCTCCAAGCAAAAGACGAGTCAGTGGATCGCATTACACAGATGAGTGCTGAAGATGCACAATTTCTGCGCCAGCCAGGCTTGCGCCAGTTGGACGAGACAAACTACCGCTTTGAAAGAATCATGCAAGATTACGTCGACCAGGACATTCCAGACGTGCGCGCGCGAATCGAGGATTTGGAGGGTGAGTTCAATCCAGAACAGGCTATGACGCTCCCGGATGGCACGCTCTTTGACAATGGACTTCGACGGGTATTCCGTTACGAAAGGTACAGCCCGAGCCGCGGCATGATGGAGAGCGAATATGTTCGCCCCGCTGACCCCGGCAACTCACTCAACTATTATCTGGAAGACTATGGCTGGCGTCGCTTCGTCAAAACCACTCCCGAAGGACACCCGGTCCTAAGAAATGGTCGACCACGCTACACATGGAAGAGACCTGCAGACTTGCTCCTCATCGACGAAGACCTCGAGTGGCGAAACGTTCGTTCCCGATTCGGAAGGCGTGACGCCGACACTTCTAATCCCGTTTTCGAATACCTTTCAAACCCCATCGGCACTCCCGTAGGCGACGACCTCTCCTCTCAACCCATCATAAAACTCAACGGAGAATCCATCATCGTCGACAGCGTCGGCCGCGTCCAAGACTCGCTCGGAGACACCATCGCAGCGGAAATGCTCCCTTCCGCAAACTCCTCGCCCACGCTCCGAAAATTTCTGAAAGATATCGGCAGCAAGTATCTTTTGATCTGGGATGCTGCGGATGGAGAAAATTTGCAGATCATCTCGAAGGAAGAGTTTTTGAACAGGCCGGGAAACCCTGTGCTTCGGAATCCGGCTCGTGGGTCGATTTTTGGGAATTCTATTCCTGCTGCTGCTGGAACTACGACTAAGTATCTTTCGACGGATTATGTTACGAGGACTCATCATGTGGACTTTACGACTTTGTATGAGAGTACGGCACTCGTCACTGGTTCTATGCCTGCTCCTACTACGCTGGCTACGATTCGAAGGTGAAGTGCGATGTTTTTTGATCGAAGGAATTTTGCGTTCGTTTTTGGGTTTGACGTTACGGATATGCGCTCTATGGGTGATTTGATTAGTATGCGCTCGATGTCGAAACTGGCGTCTGTCACGGATCGGAGTCGAAGAAGTACATAAGAACTTCCTATGAGCTCTACGCTGGGTACTCCGTCGCAACCATATAGCGAAGTCTCCCATTCTAGTTTCACATCAGCAGTTCCACATCCCTCCCTCCCTTCTATCATGGGGGGCATTGCAACTTGGAGCAGTGAAAGCAGCAGCACTGCTCGCGGATGGACCTTCAGTGAACTCGACTTTGCAATCCGATGATGATAGATGTGTTCAAAAAATTGAGAAACCAGGCTACGATCGTCCGAGCACAATCTTGTCCATCTGCCGAAGGCTTTAAGAATCTCACCTGTGGAGTTGTTGGCTCTACTCCGCCCGGATGTGATTAAGCTCGGCAAATACTCTTTCAGACTGAGTCGTTCAATCGTCACGTGCTTCAATCATATCACTTCACACTTCAGGCCTTCATCAACATCTTCTTCAACAGCAGCATCGCGGAAATTACCAAGACCAACCAAATTTCAGTATAAATCTACGATCTACCATGGCATCACAAATATGGGATCCGAACTCAGACTCTTTTCCGACCATCGAAGAGCTTCCCGCGATTGAAGGAGCCCCAAAATATGCGGCTTGGTTCTGGGGCAAAGATGACTATCTGGGTAGAATCAATCTGCTGACGCCAGCTCGCGTGAAAGCCGCAGCAGCAGAGATCAAGACTGGTGAGCTAGCAAGGACCGACCTGCCTCTTCATGTTCCAGAACAGCCTGCTTTCGGACGCCAGCAATTTGAGCACAAAATCACACCACTGAGGCCGGATCTGGCTTATGATGACATTTACTCGCTGAATACGCAGTCGGGAACACAGTGGGTGAGTACAGAGCGGTGTGGAAGCTGCAGCACATCGGAAAAGCGATTGACGAGGCGGTAGGATGGATTTCGACACGTTGCCCACCATGAGACAGGATACTTTTACAACTGGACCACAGGGAAGGACATCGATGGACCGGAACGCAACGAGAAAGCCAGTATTCACTACTGGTCGCAACACGGTCTTGCAGGTCGTGGAGGTAAGACGGCATTTCCCCTCCTGGTCCCCGACTCTAGAAAAATGATTCACAACTTCCAGTTCTCCTGGACTATCGCAGCTACGCGACATCCAAAGGAATCCAATACGATTCCGGAACTGCCCACGCGATTTCTTACCAAGATCTAGTTGAGACGGGCAAATCCCAAGGCATTGACATTCGTCCGGCTTCTCAGGGAGGTGACATTCAGATCGGAGACATCCTATTCATCCGAGCAGGTTATACTGAAGACTATTACAAACGCACCAAAGAAGCCAACACGGCGCTAGGCCTTCGCAAATTCGCGCCAGAAGGCAGCGACTCCGAGGTCCAGGCATGGGCCGGCGTGAAACAAGGCGACGAGATGCGGAATTGGTTGCATGATTGCTACTTCGCCGCTGTAGGAGGTGATTCTCCCACTTTCGAAAAATTCCCGCCTCCCGCAGACGGTACTGGGCTGCATCCATATCTTCTGGCTTGTTGGGGAATGCCGCTTGGGGAGATGATTGATCTTGAGAAGGTCGCGCAGTTGGCGAAGAAGAATCAGAAGTGGACGTTCTTTTTTACAAGTGCACCTGCTAATGTTGTGAGAGGTGTGAGTAGCCATGTGAACGGGACTGCAGTCTTTTAAGGGAGGTGGAAGTTGACAGCTCGTCGAAGACTGTGATGAGAAATGAAGAACGCAGCTGAAAAAAAATCGGCTTCGGTTGTTGTTTTCGATGTGGTGATGACTTTCGAGCAATGCAGAGCCTTTGGCCGCGGATCTGCTGGGTTGGTGATTCGTTTTGATGTCTGATTTCGAGGCCAGGCGCAGATTTCGCAACGATCTCTGACGCTGGTCTTCCCGCGATTGCTGCATTTCGTCTCGGGGAAGTTGGAAATAACCTTTTACAACAAACATGATATTTCAGCTGCCGGATGCGCTTTTGTACGCCCTGATAGCTTCGAGGCATGGTCCCATGCGGAAGCTACTCTGCACATGATATGTCAGATCCAGCTGCGATGATTAGGCGCGTGATGAGTGGGATCCTGTGCACCTCGAATGGATGACATCAGAATGATGGGGAGTATGTGAGAGGTTGTGCCCTGACTCTTGCCTTGTAGAAAGTCTGCGACTTGCCGCTCGTGACAAGATCAAATGCTCGCCCTGCATGCACCCTTATCGAACCGAATTCTCGCGGCCTTGGGACTGCATGATTACGTATCCTTAGTAGGTGTTCTCACTCCTTGTCTACCAGAAGCATCTTGGCTCTGGCAGCTTGCAAAACCTCGGTATAAAATCTAGCCTTAGAGCCTGGCGCAAATGAACCATGCAAAAAGGGCACGATATCCTTTGGCTGGCCAAGTCGCCCCCTCAAGCTCGGAAGCCTAGAGCTCTCTCTGGTCTCGATGAAGTGGCACAAGGCCCCTGGGATCCCACTGATAGCTCGTTCCAGTTTCCGAATCTCATCAGGTGTCTGTATTTTGCGAGGCATGCCGTAATAGGTCATGAACACAGCCTCCTCAGCGAACAGCGTCCATATCTTCGACCCTTCACTTCCCGTTTCGAACGCGTGTCGAACAACTTCCCAGTCAGACGGGAAGAAATCAACAGTCTCAAGCAGTTTGAGCATTACCTGATCCTGGAAGTCGTGGATCAGGTACTTGTCAGCCATCACCCAGGAATCAATCAAGGTCTTCTGCAGTGCGGAGTTCTCGTCCCGGCTCTTATACAGGTTGAATACTGGCATCGACCCATTCACGATGAAGTGTATCAAGAGCTCGAATGCGTCCTTGCCGTCGTCAGGGAAATGAAGCTTCCCGATGTTGTCTGGGCCCCAGCTCTCGTGCTTGATGGCGTTGGCGAAGTATTCCGAAGTCTGTTTCAGACGGCTCTCGGGAACCAGATACAGCTCATCATTGTTCTTGCCGAGGAAAAGTTTGATGAAGCGGTCGGACTTCAGCTGGCTTTTCGCTGTTAGCACTCTTGCTGAACACGGCTGTTATGGCTTGACGCACCTTCCAAGCGCGGCGGCTGCCTCGGCCATTGTACAGCGCGCTGAGTGCTCCTTCGTGTGCGTCTTCTCGCGATGTTCTGTAATGGATGGTGTGGACGTAGAAAATTGCGCTTCGCTGCAAAAGAATTGCAATCAGAGTGATCAGCAGTAGTCGCCGATGAGAGCCGTTTCGGACCGAAACTCAATTTGAGATTTGGCAGGCGCGAGTTCCCGCGCTAAGCATGTGAAAGTAAGCGACAGGAAGCTCTTTCTACACATTCATACAGCCAAATGAAGTACAACTTTGCCAACGCACTCGCAGCTCCTCTCGCGCATTAACGTCATTGCTCTTCTCATTTCTTCTCGGCTCTCTCGATCGCCTGACTCACGATATCTCCAACCATGTACTCAGTCCAATGAGGGCTATTTGACGCCTTGTCAAGACGATATCCGAAATGCCAGGCTGAATTGCTAATCAGTTTTCCCTGGGCTTCGCCAATAGCCGACCACAAGTTTCCGATATTGCTGAGAGCCGTCAGTTGCTCCCATTTCATTGCAGGAGGTCTATCTCTAAAGATTATGTGGATGAGCTCTTCTGCAAACAGTCTCGCAAGCTTCGATCCAGGCCGAATGAGTTCGAAGATTTGGTCCAAATCGTGAGTCTCTGGCGATAAAGCTGAGTCCTCGAAGTAGTGGATCAGAGTCAGCATGCACTCGTCCTGGAACTGTTTGATGTCGTACTGCAATCGATACTGTGGTTAGCGAGTGTATAATAATCGCATGCATGCAGAGTAACCTTTTCTCCTAGAGCCCAGCACTTCACCAGCAGCACGAGTGCACCACCGTTGGGCGGGTCGAAGACCGCCTCGCGGTTTATCATCCAGTATATGGCACATTCCCAGGCTTCTCTGTCGTCATCTGGAAAGTCCAGCTTGCCTTCTTTGCCTTCGAGGAATGCGTCACGTTGCAGAGCTTTCTCGAACCACGGAGACGCTGCTTCGAGAAGCACCTGTTGGACGCGGATCGGGGTCGTGTCTTGAGCAATAGTTATATTGATCAGACGGTCGGCCTGCAGAGATCAGGAAGTATGTCAGTAGATTACGACTCGGAGGGAATGGGATCCTGGCTCTTACTCGATGAGTTCTGGGATTTCTGGGTACTCGTCTTGTAATGCCATGTTTGATGGACAGTGTTATGAGACCGGGCTGCAACTCCACCTGTTTAGCAGCATGGAAACCCCCGTAGGCTCTCCTCGCTAAATATTATGTTGACATGCAAAGCGAGACTTATGTCTCAAATCACAACGACGCCGATTGTGGTAGGAAACAAAGCTCGACTTATTTGAGTACATCAAGACATGCTTTGGTTCACCTGAAACAAATTCCGTATCCAGCATCTATTTTCAGCCTTTCGACGGAGACTCGAATGACTCCATGTATTGCGGCACATTGAAGAGCGATAGCGGTCAACAATGATCGCAAATGCTGCCTAGGCCATCGTAAGTATGGTAAGACAATCACCACCGCAGCAATCGTAGCCCGTCGGTCGCAAAGCCTCTCAATGAGTTGTGGTAGTAATGCCAAGAAGGTCTAGTATCTGGACCTTGAGAGATGGAGGATTCCTGCTGCATTTCTCGTACGCATCCTTCAGCTCTTCCTCGTCCGAGTATGTATCGTACGCTGCTCTTGTTGGGTCTAACACGGAAGGCTCGCTCGGAGACTTGCGCGTCAGCCATGGCCTGTATCGACGAAAGGTCATGTCGCCCCTACGCCATCCAATGCGCCATCCTCCTCGATGGTCGACAAGTCCATAGACCTGGTATCCGCTCAGCGTTTTGTCATATATAATAAACCTGGTGATGCGGTTGATATCGTCCTCTCCAATCAATGGCAGATGGTTTTGAGCCTCAGTTGCCGACATTTTCCTGCAATCAAGGAAAAAGCGAGGCTGAGACCAGAAGTTGCGGAAGCTCTCTTTGTAGAGCGCATGGGCTTCGCGGTTTATAAGTTTGCAGGTGAGCAGCAAATCTCTAGATGGCGGAACGGCATTGAGCAGATCGATTCTTTGCCCTCGTTGATCTGCCTCGTAGACAGTCGCGTATATGTTCATGCAAAGCTCAGCTGGCAAGGAAAGCAGAGTCGCGGTTGGCGATGGTTCTTCATTCATGTTCATCGCGTCTTCTGTTGAGATGTCATTCGAAATGAGATAGGGTCGAAGTCTATGGTATATGCTCAGACCGAATCTGTGCTCCGAAGACGACTATGGGCTGGGTATCAATGTGCTTCGTTCACGACGGCGAGGGAGTGAAGTCGTGGAGATGACTCAGGTCTTGGCAGATCTGCCAATGTTGTTCCTCCACGCCGATGACTGGCAGCACACTCATTTTGCAAGGAGAGGACGAAGCAGTACATATAACAGGCGAACTCACTGAATGTGCGAAACTATCCCAGCCGATACCATCCACGTCGATACTTCCGAGTCCATGGTCTTTACTTAATACGGCATCCTTGGACCAGGTCAAGCAAGCACATTCGCCAAACCGTGACCGAGCAGTGGGCAATCATTCGATGCAGAATAGATCAAGGCTGTATGAGGGAGAAAGAAACTCTGAAGCGAATATGGCGGTTAGCTGGAACAAGGCTGCAACTTCTCAGTCCGAGAGTGACTGAAGTACACCTGGCGAGATGATACTACAAGCCCGGCCGCAGGCCATGCTATACCCACGTCTTGGGTGTCTGCGACGTATATGCAGTCTCACTTTGACTCCGGTAGTCATGGGTGCACCCCTAGTGTTCTATGGTGAACTCCAGCATTCGGCAAATCCATGTCGAACTGTGATGAGGACTAAGCATTGGGTGCTTTCTTTCCCTTTTCGAAAGGAAGTCCAAACAGTCCAACTGCACTGCTCGTGTAGATCTTGCCCTCGCTCATGCTCGGGCCCTGCTCACATAGAATACTGCACAGGACCCGAAAGCCCGACAAAGCCCGGTTCTCGTTGTACAGCATCAACTGCCAAGACTTCATCTCAGCTCTACCTACGATCGGTACCTCATCCAGAAATGCGGTGTTGGGGCTGAACTTGGAATTCTCGGAGCACAATTCCCCGGGGAACACTTTTGCTGAAGATAAAAGCTAAGGTCGGCGCTGCTAACAATGGTGGCACTAGATTCAGATCACAGAACCGCCAAAGCACAGCACCAACATGGGGTCCGGGACACCATATCTTATTTTCGGGCTACTGGTCTGGATTTTCAGTCGCCTGACGCGAGCTTACTGCTTCGCTCCGCTACGCTCCATCCCGGGTCCTTTCTTGGCCTGCTTCACTCGCTTCTGGTACGCCACACACGCCTATTACGGACACATTGAGCAGGATCTCGTAGAGTTGCACAAAAGACACGGGAAAGTCGTCCGTGTTGCTCCCCACGAATACAGCATCGATGATCCAGAGGCAGTGAAGATCATCTATGGCCGTGGCTCCCAATTCCGAAAAGCAGATTTCTACGCCGCTTCCGAAAGACCAGGACACCCTAACCTGTTCAGCCAGAGAGATCCAGCGCGACATGATCAGGATCGGAAGAAGTACAATTACGCCTATACAATGAGCGCTATGGTCTCCTATGAGAAGTATGTCGATGATTGCATTGAACTGCTTGGGCAGAGACTAGTCGAGCAGAAAGATGCTGTTGACATGGCTTGGTGGTTGCATTGCTTTGCTTTCGATGTTATCGGTGCCATCACTTTCTCTAAACGCTTTGGATTTTTGGACGCGGGCGATGATGTGCATGGGCTCATCAAGACAGTGCATGGAAATGCATTCTATGCTACAATCTTTGGAATCTTCCATGAGGTGTATGCTTCAATGTTTCACGTCAAAGCTTGGCTCTCGAAAGTTGGGATACTCAACCAGAGTGGCCAGACTTTCATGCAGGACTTTGCAGGCGGCCTACTCAGAGAGCGCCGACAGCACTTGGACGATGTTGATCAGGGATCACTCAGCCAGGAGGCCGACGACGGCAGACCCAAAGATTTCCTCACGAAGTACATGGAACAGCATCTCAAAGACCCATCTCGTTTCAATATCGGCGATGTCATGAATGGTCTCGGCGCAAACATCAATGCAGGCTCCGACACAACTTCGATCACGCTGAGTGCCCTTCTCTACCATACCCACAAGAACCCCACTGTCCTCGCCAAACTCCGCCAAGAGCTCGAAGAGAGCGAGTCCAACGGCAAGATGTCTTCACCGATTACGTTCAAACAAGCCCAAAGCCTTCCGTATCTACAAGCTGTCGTCAAAGAAACGCTTCGTATTCACCCAGCAGTCGGCATCACACTTCCACGCGTCGTCCCTCGGGGTGGAGCGCATATCGCAGGCCACTTCTTTCCCGCAGATGAAATCGTTGGCGTAAATCCGTACGTGGCGCATCGAAATCACGAGGTCTTTGGAGCAGATGCGAATGTCTTCAGGCCTGAAAGGTGGTTGGAACAGAATGTCAAGGCTGAGATGGAGAAGTATTTTATGGCTTTCGGGGTGGGAAGGAGAAGCTGTGTTGGGAGGAATGTCGCTTTGCTCGAGATCACGAAGGCTGTACCGGAGCTTTTGAGGAGGTTTGAGTTTCAGCTGTTGGGTGAATGTGAATGGCGGACGAGGAATTGGCTGTTTATCATGCCTGAGAAGCTTGGTATGAGTGTTAGAGAGAGAAGGTAGATTTTCAAATTCGCTATAGAGCTTCTTCCTTGCCAAAATAAGCGGCGATGACCTCCATGAAGACAGATTTTCGAATTGTGACTTCACCTGGCAGTCTTTCATGGTGATTGTAGAGAGAGAAGTGGAAGCAGAATTGATGGCGCTCGTGAATGTTGCCTCCGCGCCAAGAGCCTTGGCAGCGGAATCCTGGCAGTCGCGGAGCACCAAATGGCTCGAGCTCGCCACCATCATTGCTCTGCCTGAAGCGTAACTTTCTCAAACATTCACTTCACGTTCCGTGAGCTTTCCCGTTTTGAGTATCATGGCAGACCATGTCTTCAGGGTCTAGCCAAGCAAGAGTCTTAGAGCTCGTTTCGAAATCGCAGCAACATGCCAGTGATGGCGAGCTACAAAAGGCCTTCGAAGCGCTGAAAGAAGCATCGCACCTTGAGCCAGAGAATGCCCGAGTCAAAGATGCCCTATTGTCTTTGCAGAAGCGAGAGACGACTGGCGACTTTCTCAATCTCTTGCAAAGCTACCTGGGAAGTGGTCCCGAGAGCGAAGGTCAGAAAGCGCTGCAGGCTTTACGACACAAGAGCCTCCCGAAGGACGATGCTGAGCAAGCTCTCAGTCTTCTTCTCCACCCTAGCAGAAATGCTGACCTGCTCGACACTTTGACTGGCACCCTGATCTACCGCAGTGTGGACGCCAAGAAGGTGTTGGCGAGCAAATTCCAAGAACCGATCACGACTCTATTCGATCAGCTTTGTGAACGAGGTCCAGAGAGCTTGACGGCATTCGCCGCACTGCCATTTGATGACTCCTTGTGGCCTTCGAAAGATGACCAGGCACGCGCTCAGAGAGACATCTTCCGGCTTTGTATTGCGGAGCTCATTGATGTGGACATCGACTACCCGGAACGCTTCATGCAGATTGTTGCCCGCCAACTGGCAATCGCGCCTGAAAACATCAGGACTCTCCTTGATAGCGATTCCTTCGAGATTATTTTCAATTCCCTGGACATTCGCTCAACATCAGCTCTTCGGCAGCAAGCCATGCTGGCAACTGCAAAGGCTCTCGAAGTGACCCGAGACAAGGGCGAGCAGATCTTCGGCCAGTATCTTGCGACGAAGGTGGCGAAGCAGACCAACGACGATCTCATCATGGCTTTCTCTGCTGCTGCCGCGATATTCCCCATGATTCCTGTAGTCGCCGCACAATTGTTCATGACGGACGGATTCGTGCAACAGCTTGTGCCGAACCTCGAGAAGAACTCCGAAGCAGCGAGTCAGGGGCAGAGGTGAGCAAGTTGGCCAGCTCGATACATCGATATGGTCTAACTGACGAGATATAGAAAGAGTCGGACGCTAGAGCAAGCAGCTCTCGAGCTCCTGAGCGCGGCTTGTGTAGATAAGAACTGCAGAGAAGCTATTGACCGGTACTGTTCGCCTTGGTTGCGAGATCTCAGTGAGGAGCGAGAGGGCACACATAAAGCACTTTCCGCCCTTGTATTGGCAAAAATCAATTCTGCCTCTCAAGATGAAGTCACACAGAAGCTTGCGGACCTGGTATTGGTAAACGAATCCAACAAGGATCAAGCTATCGAGGGTCTCGCGTATACCACGCTACAGCCGAAGGTCAAGGAAGACATTGCCTCTAATGCCAATTTGCTCAAACGACTGGTTGTCGCCCTCACGGACCGGCCAAGCGCAGCTTTCGGCTGCCTGACGATATTCTCCAACCTCACAACATACAGACCAACAAAGACTGCAGAGCAGAAGAAGATCGAGCAGCTAAAAGCGTATGCCAATCAGAGCAAGCCACAGCCGGACGATCCTTTCGATAACGACAGCTACGTGACTGCACGGGCAAGAAAACTTCTCGATGCCGATATCGTTCCGGCGCTCGTGGCCTCTTGCAAGCAAACAAGCTCCCCTTCGAACATCGCAATGGTTGTCCGAACTCTGCTGTCTTTGTCACGAGAACAAAAGCACAGGTCGAAAATGGTCCAACAAGGCTCCGTGAAGCTCCTCCTTCAAATCCGAGAGCGAATCGCCAACACCGACAAATCCACTTCGGAAACTTCCCTCATCGAACGCAACGCTTCACACGCCCTCGCCCGCCTACTAATCTCCGTCAACCCTTCGCACGTCTTCACTGCGAATCTCCCTTCTTCCTCAGCCGTCTCGGCCCTTCTCCCTCTTCTCAATCACGACACAGACTCCGAACAACGCGACCTCCTACCCACATTCGAAGCTCTGCTTGCGCTTACAAATCTAGCCTCAATGGACGATCCCACAGCTCGAGATCTCATGATCCGAACTTCCTTCGATCGCCTCGAGGACCTCCTCTTCAGCTCCAACACTCTCGTCCAACGCGCATCGGTTGAACTTGTCTGCAATCTCATGGCTTCTCCCTCAGGAATCGCGAAACTCGCCGACGGCAGCAAAGACGCGAATCGTCGGTTGCACGTCCTATTGGCACTAACTGATGTCGAAGATCTTGCGACTAGGCGCGCTGCTGGTGGCGCGTTGGCTATGCTGACCGAGTGGGACTCTGCTGTGGAGGCTATCTTGAATAAAGATAAAGGCGTGCAGAGATTGGTTGATATGTGTGCTGATGAAAGTGAGGAGTTGAGGCATAGAGGTTTTGTCTGTCTGCTCAACATCGTCAATGCGCCTGGAGAGATTGGTGAGAGGGGCGTGAAGGCGGTGAAGGAGGTGCAAGCTGGAGATGTGCTGAAAGAGGCTTTGAGGAAGAGTAAAAATCAGGAGGCGTTGGGGTTGGGAGTGGAGGTGTTGAAAAAATTGCAGTAAGCGAAGAGCGGCAGGGCGGTCGGTATCTGCTTTGCTTTGCTTTTCATTCACATCGTAAATTCTTGACCGCTATCGATTTCATGCTGTCGAGTATGCGGTAATTGCATCCATGTCATACGTTACGTTCCAAAAAAAATGATACTTTCTTGAAGAATTCTTGACAACCGCGAAGACAATCTGACTGAACGATGGCCGTGATACCTTACTACATTCGGCGACCTTCGCAATCACGATCACCGGCGCTATTGCTGGTATTGTTTGCGGAAGCCAACTACCGCTTCCATCCTAACACCTTGTAAACCCGAAGACCGACTTCCTGACGGCTAGCCTGACCTTTGGGACATCAAGATTTCCAGCTATTCTAAGTGAGTGATCAGTCATCGAGGGAGTACCGATAATTTTCAGCCGTATCGATACGTTCGGTGGAGGCCAAGCACGGACCGAAGATTTTCGCCGACTTGATGGAATTTCTGATCGGATCCTCTGCGATGATCATTGGTACAAAATTTGACAGAATGATGTTATTGTTTTTTTTTTGGGCCGTTGGTGGGCTTCGGTAGCAATACCTTATTGAGCTTCGGGGAAGCTTTCTCGTCTCTCGTCCCGTCTTGCACTATATAGGCATTGGCTAGAGTGAGATGGACGTGACCGCTGCTTGGTTAGGTCATGCGATGCACGGTTTCAGCACCATGATAACTTTCCTTGAGACATCTCCCCTTTTGGTAGCCCCATCTGGCAAGCAAGCATGTGCCACGCCCCATTGCCGTGCATGGCTGCTGGCCTGACGATCGACTTTGGATATAGGATTGTCTGTCTGGTCGCCTAAAGACTAATCATGCCTCGAGTAACAAGCTTCGTAGTCTGCATAGCCGAGCGCATATAGGATGGCGATCTTGTGTAGGTGTTGGTGCCAATATGTTGTTGTGTATTTGATTCGTGCCGTTGCCCAAGTTTCATAGCCCTGAGACGCCATACATACTTCTAGGAATGAGAAGCTTCAGCCTTTGGATCTGAAGACCTATTCTGCCCACGTGGTAAGATTGCCGGAGCAGCTCACCGAGATCCTATCGGTGGTTGTGCCTCTGTACTTCTTCTAGGCGTCATCACGAGCGTCATGCATCGGTTTTCATTCCCGTGCCGAGTGGGGTTCGTGAAACACAGGACGTTGCTCAGCCCTGGATGGCTAAGCAGGCTAAGTTAAGCTCGGCCATGACAGTGCTTACTGAAGACAAGCTCTTGTCGAGTGAGATTCTAGCCGTAGTCAGTTTAGATCTGAAACTCTATTTCTGAGGGCTTTCACGTTGGTGAGGATATTGTCTGTGAGGAACCACTGCGCTTGTGTACTCACCAACGCGAGATGCTATTTTCTGACCGCATTTCAGCCAGACCACTGTCCACGAAATCTCCATAGCACCAAAGCGGGATCGTTACATTCCCAAATTTGGCTGTCAGGCTTGCAATTGTGGTGACGCAAAGACGATCCAGGGCAGTGGTAGGATGTGTATAAGACGGGCGCGTCGCCCAGCATGAAGCATGCCTGTTCTCCTCATCAGCCAGCATTAAGCAAGCCAATCTGCCAGCATTGTCGATTCGCATTTCCTGCTTTTACATCAGCGGCAGAAGTTCTCACATCTCCTAGAGTCACTCACTCAACACAATCAATCGCCCAATCACGATGCTTTCCACGCTCGCTGTCGCCGGCCTCGTAGGCCTTGCTGCTGCGGCGCCACAATACGGAAGTGGAGGAGGATGGGTGGGTATCCATGGAGGTTACGGCCCTGGTAGTGGAAGTGACAGCGGTCCTCAGCAGCCATTCAAGTTCCCGCTCTCGAATGGGTTTCCCCATCTCTCGCCCGATGCACTGAAGGCTGTCCAGCAGCAGGCTCACGGAACTCTACCAAATGGCCAACTTCCATCCAGCATTGAGGATGCAAGCGCCGCCACCTTCCAGCTGATTGCGTTCAACGAGCTCTTTGAGGTCGCCTTCTTCACCTCCCTCATCAATAACATCACCTCTGGTGTCTACGATGTCGGCCATGGCGCCGCCAAGCAAATCATCCTCAACGCCCTCACCGCTGTCCAGGCTCAAGAAGAGCTTCACGCTACCGGAGCTAACGGCATTCTCGCTGCTGCTGGCCGCACGCAGATTCAGCCATGCGAGTACGTCTTCCCGTCGTCTAACTTCGACGACGCCATCGCCTTCGCTTCCACTTTCACCGATGTCGTCCTTGGTACGCTCCAAGACGCTCAGAACAACTTCGGACAAGATGGCGACACAGGCTTCATACCTCTCATCGGCTCCGTCATCGGCCAGGAAGGTGAGCAAAATGGTTTCTACCGCGTTCTCGGCGGCAAGATTCCCTCCCAGCTCCCATTCCTGACTCGCTCTGCTGGAGCATTCGCTTTCTCTGCCCTCAACCAGATGGTCATCGTGCCAGGCTCCTGCCCTAACAGCAACGTCATCCCGCTTCCAATCTTCCGCGCTCTCTCAGTCGACACCCAGAACATCCAGGCCAAGGATCAGACTCTTTCCTTCGGCTTCAAGGCTAACGGCACTGCACCACACGACTTCAGCCTCATCTACATTAACCAGCAGAACGTCCCCGTCGTTCAGCAGCCAAAGAACATCAAGGTCTCCGGCGACAAGGTCTCCTTCCAAGCCGACTTCCCGTTCTCTGCGAACCTCATGAACGGTCTCACCATCTCTGCTGTCACCAAGACCGCCGGTCCTTTCGCTGATGCTCCTGCTGTCGCTGCCGATACTCTGTTCGGCCCAGGTCTCATTGAGATCAACTAGATAGCTTGACGGGCGTATTGCTGGCCTGGGCATGAGGTTTGCGGTTCTTGACTACTGGGTTACGCGGCACTTGACTCGGAATTCCGGCCCCTTCTTTTCACGACTGATGGATTATGCTCTGCAGTATGGTCATTTTGAAAGGGTTCGCGTAGTGATACCATCAATGTCTTTGCACTTGTGCTTTTGTGCCTCTTCAGTCTCAAGCTAGCTCTAAGCATCTGCTAAGGCTGGATCTCGCTATCAGGACGCCGAAGCGTGACAGTGACAGATTGATGTTTGAGGCATCGATGTTGAGGAAAAGGAGTAGCAAATTCCGGTGAGCTTTTCGGAGCACAGCCGGGGCCAGCGGGCTCCAGACTGGCAAAGCTCCGGAAATTCAAAAAAATGAAACTTGAATCACTATAAATTGATTGGTTAGCTGAATTCAGTTTGAATTTGATGGATTTGATTGGGAATTTAATAAATCAGTTTAGCAACCGCGGTGTTGCATGTGTCCTTATTGTGTAACTAGTGTTTATATAGCTCGAAGAGCTATAAGTAAAGGACGAAGTGCTATAAGTAAAGGCCGAAGAGCTATAAGTAAAGGCTAAGGCGACGAGCGAGGCGGGGTAAGCTAGATTCTAGAAGATTCTACGGCGGCTGTAGCCGTGCCGCGCTAGGCAACAAGGCGGAAATCGTTACAAATCGCGCTTTATAAATCGCGCGCCTTTCTAATAACAACTTCTTCTACTTACTACTACTATAGGCGGGACGAGTAGGTCGTAGGTAGAGGTATATATATAGGGAACTATATACTATAGGCCTAGTACTTAGTAAACTGCGAGGGGTCGGCGTAGTATTATATACCTTAAAAGGAAGGCGTTATAAATATTAAAGAGAAGGGAACGGCCGCAGGGAGGGCTATATTATAGCTAGATTAGGTACATTTCCTATATCTCTCTTGCTATATATTATCGTAGCCGTGTCTCTTTATATTGTATGTTCTCTAATTATAAAGGTAGTTATATATATTCTAAGGTATAAAAACAAGGAGAGGGGATATAAGTGTATATACAAGTACTAAGCCGGGTTTCCCTACTATATTTTCCCTCCCGGACTAAGAAGTCTGCCCTTAGACTAACGCTTCCTTACCTCCTAGACTAAAAAACCTTAAACACGCAAAGAAAACTAAACTAACTATCCTATAGCGGTATCCTAGCTAGCTAGCTGCTATACCTTATTACTTATTTCTTTCTACTACGAGTCGCTAGTCTACTATAGTTACCTCTACGGCCCTAGCCGCTATAATTGCCTCCTCGCCCCTACTAGTTAAATTAGTCGATAAGAGCCTAGGTCCGCGTCGCCTTAGCCCGTATGTCCTAGCGGGTCTATCGCTTATTCGGATTAGCTATAGGGTTCGTAGGCTGCTTTAAAGAAGATAGCTAAGGAGGCTGTTTCTTAGGGGTACTAAGCTACTAGGAGTTAACGTTCGGGAGTACTCTACTAGGAGTAGAGACCTTCGAAGCGTAGGTAGCAGGTTTCGCTAAAGGGGCGCTAGACTGCCGCTAGTTAGTAGGAAGGTCTGCCTTACTAGGTTCCTATTAGTATATAAACCCCTAGCCTCCCTAATTAAATTCCTCCCTAGTGTTAGGCGTAGGCTAATATCGGTAGAAATTATCCTAGTTTAGGCGTATATACCGATCTTCGCTATTGTTTAGGATGCAACTCTAGTCTTTTAAAGACTATATAAGAGCCTTAAAGAATAATTTCTCCCCGAAACGTTCCTACTCGAGCCGAATAACCTCACTTAATATCTTAGAGTATACCGTCGCTATATCCTTGCGATACTGCTTTAAATAGTTCTCGAGTATATATAAGGAGCCTTCTTAGTTAAGGTTGCGAAAGAGTCTTCGAATATATTACTATACTATAGTATCGTCCTACTTTAATCGACCGACGAGGGCTTCCGAGATTAGGTTATTATTACGTAGGCGTAATATAGCCGGGAACGCGTACGGAGGGGCACTATACTTGTTTATAAGACTAGAGGGCGAGGTAGGGCTAGGAAGAAGGTCTCGATAGGTAGCGGCGAGTTCCTAAAACGTACCTCTAGCTTCGCAATCGAGCTTTCTAGTTACTAAGTCGTATCGGCAGAACTAGGGGAGTATAGTTATCCTCTTAGTGTTCTTCGGTAATGCCTAAGCGCCGTATAGAAGGTAGGGAAGGGTTAGGCGTACTCTAAGGGCACCGACCGGGTACTACTCCTAGCCTACATTTCGACACTTGCCTTTTAACTCGTTCTTAATAAAGTTATTAAGGGTATTCTCTATCTTAGTATTTAGGCAGTGTGTATTATAGTTAATAGAGAGAATATAACCTCGAGGGGCGTACGTAGGGCCCTTTTCCTAGCGAAGGATCTTAAGTTCCTTATACTATTTATTAAAGACTTCTAGTTAGTAGATCCTAGCGAAGACCTTCGTAGTAGTCTCTACCGTTTTAGGAAGGAAGGATACGGAGCCTTAAACTTGGTTTATAGTAATGCCTTCTTAGAGATCGAGAGGGTGCTAGTTAATATAGGCAAACTCGGTCGAACCGCCGTTACTAGGTTGAGTTATCTTAGCGTAGTACGGGTAGGAGATTAGGTTAAGAGCGTAATTAGGGCGGGTAAGGCCGTAGAGGAGCTAGTAGACAGGGTCTCCTCGGCAGATCTACTAGAACCTAGAATAGAAGGCGGTTCGAAGCCAACCCTTGTTCGAGACTCCGTTAACTAAACGCTAATACTAAAGGTACATTGCAGCCTCTAGCTTAAACTAGTTAGATAGGGACATCTTTCCGAAGGGTAGAGGGGCCGCGGCGACTTCGACTTTCTTATTATTACACTAACTAAAGACGGCCGCTCTATATAGTTTAGTAGAGCCTCTATCGCTCGTAATACTATCTAAGGTAATAGTACTATCTCTTGCCTAGGCATCCTAGCTAGCCTTTATTATTACTCCTATACGGGAGAAGGCCTTACGAATCTTAGTAGCAATCGCTAGGGTAACGCGTTTAATAGTTAAAGGGTTATATATCTTACTCTCGTAACTATAGGCCTTAGGGAAAAAGCGATATAGTCTAAGGTAGTCGCTAGGGATAGGAGGACGGCGAGTCTTCCGAAACAGGTTAGGTCTCTTATTTCGAAGGCGAAGAAGGTCGTTCCGGTACTTATATCTAGGGCTACTTAAGGTTTCTATTATCTGCTCTCGACTAACTTTTCCTCGAAACCTAACTACTGTCCTAAACAGGTAGCGGGTATAAGTATAGCAAGGCGGGTAAGGGGCAGTTACAACTAGGGCAATTGCTCTTCCCTACGTAGCGTTATTAGATTTACTATCGTACTATATTAAAGCACTACGGTCGGCTTCCGAGAATCTATTGTAGCTATAGTAGGCTAGGCTGTTTCTAATATAAGTATCCTTATCGGGGGTTAGCTCCTTATAGTATATAGTGCCTCCCCGCTTAGGTCCTAAGGCATTAAGGTCGTCGGTTAGGTTCTCCTCGAGAGGTACGGTAAGATCTCTACTCGGCTTATTAAGTCTGTTCGATCTACGGGTCCTTCCTAGAGGGGGGATAGGCGTAGTAGTTCGAATTCGACGAGTAGGCGGAGCCCCTAGAGCAAGGCTGTTATTACTACTCCTACTACTAGTCCGATCGGGTAGCGAAGAAGTGTTCTCGACTAGGAGATTAGGGCGAGTCGTATCGCGTTATAGAGGCGTATTTTAGCGAGAGCCGATAGGCTAAGTAGGGCGAGCGGATAATAGCTACTAGTTGTCCTACCTAGCTAGAGGATCGCTAGCTAGGTTGTGTATAACTAGTAATCTAATAGGTATACTAATTCGCTTATATATACCTATACGGGATCGAGGGACATTAAGCCCTAGGGTCCTAGAAGTAGTGCCTTTAATGTAGCTACCTAGCGGTCTCGAAAAAGGGCGGCCGTCGGGAGTAATAGCAATTATAGGAGGGCCTTCGCGTTAGCTAATTCGAATACTAATAGCCTTAAGCTTCGCCTTGCTAGCCTCCGATCTCTAGGAGAAGAATTTATTCTTACCCTCCTTACGAGTGTCGTCCTCCTTATCTACTACGCAGTCCTTAGTAGTAATAGTAACGGTATTAACATCTGCCTGTCCCTATCTCGCCCTAAGCGTTCGGCGGTATAGGTAATTGCTTAGGATACGAAGAACAAGCTAAATTTCGGAAACCTAGCTAGCGTCCTTAAAGTTTACGTAGTTATTAAGCTTTCTATCCTTCTATAGCCTAAAGACTCGAGCTATTTCCTTTGCGGTGTTACCTCGGACATTATAGAGGTCTAGGTAGTTCCTAAAGAATATAGGACTGTTAGTAATATCGTTCTTGCGGCGATCTTCCGTAGCCTTCCTACGAGTAGCGGCGGCTTGTAGGGTAGCAAATTCGTTACCTATATACTACTCGAGGGCCTATACTATAGTAGATCCTCGGGTACGAAGAACATCTTCTATTTCTTTCGGTAGTCCTTTAAAGAGCGCCTCCTTAAGCCGATAACAGATTAGCTCGGTACCTTTAATAAAGTTATTAACACTTCCTAGGTTGTCGTAGATTATATCTACTTTAGTTTAGCGGGACAGGTTAGCGGATTAAAGATATTATACCTATTCGAGTAGGGTGTTGTAATTGCTTAGTCGCTAGTCGGAAGGAAGGTAGGAAATACCGCTATAGGCTACGCTCGTAATAAGGTCTCGACTAGAGGCTTCTACTATTGCGCGCTTACGAGGCGGTAGGGGGGTTTTGCGTATTAGGTCGCGTAGAGGAGGTAGGGGTTTGTCGGTCTTTAATAGTTGATTAAGGAGGGTAGTGTTTGCTATAAGCGCCTATCGCTTTATTAAGGGAAGGGCGATGCAGGTATGTTTGTTTATAAAGAAGTTTAGGCGCGAGAAAGGTCGCCTTTTTGTCGTAGTAGTAGCGCGGGTACGCGGGAAGGGACGGGAAGCACCTACCTTACGCGT